TGGATCCTAGCTTTCCGATGGAGTCCAGGGCACTGGCACCTTGTGACGACTTGGAAGCCACTTCAATCCTCTACTTGTCAGGGGACCTCTCAACCCAGCTCGGGATCCTGCAAAAGGATGTAGGGATGTCAAAGGGCCCTACAAGGATCCCTTCCGAGCATCACGGACGGAATGCCATATAGACCCTGTATGCTGTAATATTGCACCGTTTACGGAGCTAATGGGCCGAGCTATACGTACAACTTGCCTGCCACAGAGTGCGTTTGCTTTTGCAAGTAGAAGCCATTTGAACCATTGTCTGAACTCCTAGCATCCCCTTAATGACCCCCTATAATCGTCCTCCCCTTTGAGGAGTTTAGAAAATAGCTTAGTTGAAGTAGAAGCTGGTTGCTGGATAGGGACTGTGCTGTTTCAGGTGCAGGCATTAAGTACTGTTGCTACAGAGCTGAAGCTTTCGGTGTATACACTCATCAACAGGACTGCAAAGCTTCTCGGTGGTAACCACAATACTCAGATTCATAATAACAGTGAGGAGGGTTTAGGGTTATATGCTATAATATACTATAGTATAATATAGTATATTTATTGCGTTATCTTATGACATACTATAGTATATTATCGTAGAATATATATATATATATATATTAGTATAATATAGTAATCATAGTATATTACGTCAAACCATCTTGAACAGGCATGCAACGAGGGTTCCCCACCATGCCATCACTTCGCAAATCCGCAATTTCAGGACAAAACAGGGCTACCTCAAAACCTGACAGGGCAAATATTGTATCATATTACAGTAATCTTCCTATGAGTATGTATACAAGTGCATCAAGGTTTTTCTAAAAACCCTGAGTACGTATACCAATTACAAGAAAATCCTTGTCAATTTTTTTGTTGATATTCATCTTCCTATGAGCATAAAAAAGAAAGATCCTTCTTAGCTTTCTGCCCGAAAATACACTGCTCTCTGGGCCGCAGGCTCCAGCTGACCCCAGCACCTGTGCTCAGGAGGCCGGGATGCACCCTCGAGCTTGATATTAGGGTTTAGGGTTTAGGGGTTTAGGGTTTAGGGGTGTAGGGTTTAGGGCTTAGGGTTCTCCCTCGAGCTTGATATTAGGATATGTCGGGGGTACCTTGAATGGGGATATAGGGCAGGGGGTGTATAGGGGTATATGATTATGAATACTTTTATTTGTGGGACCTTTCTCCTATTCATAGGGTTAGGGATGAATGTTTATGGGGATTCCCAAAGCAAGGGATGCTTTCTTGGAGGTCCTTAAATGAGGATAATAGTATATTGGGATACATATATATATATATAGGCCTCCCCTTACTTCTGGAAACTACCATATAATGAATGCATTGCAACATGCATAGCATACGATGTATGAATGAGAACAAATATTCATGTACTTATTACACAAAATATACGAAAACATGTATTAACATACATATATACACCTATACATATGCGAAACCAGGGCCACTTAGTGCCTGGCAGATGGTGTCCATCCCAATTAGAAGCGCCTCAGGGCATAAGCGTGGCAGGTTGCAGCCAAACGCTTCGGCATGCCCTTCCCTGACATTCCCTGACTGACTGGGGCTGGCTCATCCAGTGCATCAATGCCCAACATCGAATCCAGGGCTGTAAGAGCCCGGAACAATCTGCAGCAGATGCTCAAGACTAGCACGCGCACCGAACAGAGATCGAATCATCGTACAATGCTCTACCTCAGCGCTGAAAAATGCATAAAAAAGCATCCTCTTTGGGCCTCAGAGCAGATGGCTCTTCAAGGATCTTCTCTTGAATCAAGATGTCCATCAGCTGCCTGCCATAAGGTTATGGTCTGGGTGAAGCCGAAGAGATCCCAGCCTATTTGCTTGAAGCCGTTGATGCTACTGCAACCTTCCCACTACTCCAAATCTCCATGAAAGAAACGTGGCCCCTGCAACTTCCGGAGGCGGCGCCTTGTCTTGGTCTGTTTGTAAGCCACTATTACTATGACTACTACCATTATGACCACCACTACTACTACTACTACTACTGTTATAATTACCATTATGATCATATTATTCTTGTTACTATTGCCCTTGCGGGCCTGCGTCTGGAAGGGGCCAAGTGCAACACAGCTCTGGCCATGCCAATGGGGGACCTTGGCTTCCAGCTTCCCGAAGCAAACAAGAGCCGACGGTCCTCCAGAAAGAGACTTACTGGCTCTTAGTAGGGAATAAGGGAATATAGGGATTATGTAAGGAGTATATTCCCTTAGCCCCTATTGGGAACCAGTAAGTAGAAAGCATTCTGGGGAAAATCCAGGGACAGGATCGACTGCAGCTCCGACACAGCTGCCTTGGCTCTCCAATCAAGTGTACCAGCTCTGAAACACTGCTGCATAAAGCAACCGGGGAAGTGGATTCCCATAATCTTCCCAATGTAACTTACCAAAATAATGCCATGGTCATGCTTCATGGCCTGGCCAATGGCATCCAGCTCTGCATCTGGAAGCCTGGGCATTTTTTAAAAGTGTATTCCTGTCAGAATCTGCGCCGACTGCAGTGCATAAGACACCAACGCAGCCATTGCTGCCACAGCAGTTTGACAAACTCTTGCACCTGCAGATGGATATCAACAACACATCGCAGTGAAATGTCTCAGATTGCAAGTGGAAACGAGCCTCTTGCTAGTCGTTTTGTCGTATTTGTCGTCTCCTCGACACTTGCCAAGTGGCGGCTTGTTGTAGCAAATGAAGCTGTCCTCTGCTTGACCTGGTTCCTCTACCCCTGCTTCCAGGAGCTGTTGTGTCTCCTGCAGAGAAGATGCCAATTGCACAGCGGCAAATCATGCAACTGCCCAGGCCTCCCACCAGGACCGAGCAATGTGCAGGTCGATCAGCAAGGCCAAGTGGCGGCCCTGATGGTCAAAGTGCTGATTCAGCCAAGCACAAAAGCAAGTCCCGCCTGCACTTGTGACGGGAGGGAGGCAACGCCTTTCACCGCCAGCTGGCACAGCTTTTGCCTTTGATGAGCATCCATAGCCTTGTCGAGCCCACAGTAAGACGCTTGTCACGGTCAGAAAAACACGCAACAACTCCCGTCTCAGACGCTAACCAGCCATGTCCAAGTCCATGTCATCAGCCGCTGCTCTGCCGACGCAGACTGAGCAGCCTTCAACACCAGGGCAAAACAAGCCGCCGCAGAACCTGAAACAGCTGGGCCTCAGATCTGCGACAGAGTAGCTTGCGCATGAGACGCAGAAATGTCCGAGCGACCTCCGGCATTGGGAAACAGTTGCTGCTTGTGTGCCTGCAACTCAATATGGCCTCATCTGGAGGCAAATCCAAAAGAAGGAAGAGCTCTGGAAAGTCATCTTCCTGCTTCTACCAGGGTCCAGTACCAACAAACCAACTTGGAATGGATCCCTTCAGAACAACTTTTCAACAACTTCCAAATGCTCTATTCCCACTGACTTACACTGCAGGAAGCCAGCCCAAACTGGCCCACCTCAATCTCTGGGCATCCAGTAAAGTCTGCCACAACGACCTGGCTCCGGAAATAGAGTCCAAAGGAAATGTGGTTCCTTGTAATCGCATGTCCGAAGCAACTGATAGATCATTTCAATAGCAAGGACTCTCCGAGCAACTCATGTGTATGAGATTAGGCAACGCAAAACGTGCAGCACTTCCGTGCATCAAATGAAGTGCAGGCCTCCACCTGTTGCGATAATTGCTCAAGAACCCGGCGTGCCCTCGCTATCTGCAACTCTGTGTCCTGACGAAGGAACTGCTGCTGTTGTTGCTAGCCCTATTGCTACCATCAACACCACAGGAGCAGCGCATACAGTCACTACCAGTATGACGTCGCTTGGAATATCGAATAGTAACAGTAATTACTCTGAAGACCTGCTTTAAGGCGAAGCCTGCTCAGCAAGGCTTGATGACGCCGGCTCTGCTTGAGACCTCAGAGCCAGGGATACCAGGGATACGGGCAAGGGGAACAAAATGAAGAAAAGAAGTACAACTACCCCTTGAACTTGGAAAAGAACGAAATTCAATGGCAAGACTATGGCAAGACCAGTGTCAGCAGCTGTCGTGATTCTTAGCCATATTTAGCTTCCGTGCAGGTAAAACACGGCAAAACCTTGCATGTTGACTGACCACTTTACTTGGTCTTACTATTGGGGGGGTGCCAGCGGGCTCTGCGTTGAGAAACAGCCAGTGTAAGGCTAGTTTGGCAGCTTGGCTGAGAAACGTGCCCCATCCGGACGTTGACATCAACGGCAGCATGCTGGGCACACGGAAGTTGTCAGGCACGCTTGCGATGCTTTTTCATCTCATGTTTTTAGCAGGGGTTGGTGACTGTATATTCTGTTTAAAAAGGCAGCTGGTAAATTTAACATTGGACTTGCGCCAGCTTTCTCATGTCTCATGTACTACCAAGGTGTGGACCTTCTGCTTCCAAGGTTTCAATTGCAGCCCGGCACGCAGCCTGCTTTGTCAGTCTGCCTGATTTTTGCAGCGCTCAGCGCATGTCGCGAACGGCCATCTGAACTTCTGCCAATACCCCGGGCGTCTGTGAGCGTTGGCACTATGCCTATTGCAGGCTTGTGCCAACAACGCCCACGCGCGCATGGCAGAAAGCCATGGTCCTGACTGTGGGCAACTCCGTGCAGCAACAAGCCTCACTGCATGTGGTAGCAATTGCGAGCTGAACATGGATTGGGAGAAGCCCTCACGAATTCGCCACAAGCAGCCCGGTCTGAAACCCTCCAAAATCTCCATCACTTCCCTGCAGTATTGATGTCAACAGCACAGGCACCTTGTAGACAGTCCGGTGTGCAAAGGCCAACAGCAAGCCACAGAAAGTGCACGAGTGAAGCTCCAAGGTTCCTTTGCAAGTGAGAATCTGACTAGGGGCCACACCCAACAGCTAAGCTTTTGTCAGCTTTACCCTCGAGCTTCCCCGGAATTGGCGGATTGCAAAAAATGCGATATCAATTACGGTGCTGAAGCAGCTCGCACCGGCGTGGGGACCTCAGTACAAAGGCACCGTGCTGCAAAACCCATGCAGTCGAGAGATTTGAATCTACTTGCAGCATACCCAGCCCCTCGTCTGACGATCAGAGCCCGACTCCCGCTGATGCCGCATCATGCACGTGGCTGTCCTGCAACCAAGCGGGCCAGTCATTGAAGATCCTGCAACGAGTCGGACTGATGCCGTCCTGCTTGCCCTTTGTAGGGGTTCTCAGTGGCACCTGAGGCCAAAGACTGCCAAAAAAAAATGCTGTTCGATTCCAAAGCAAGCCCTTTCTCATGAATCCACAGTGTGTCTGTCTGAATCCTTGATACCATGTTCTTGCAGTCAAGACTCCACGGCAACTTCCGGTTCCTCTAGCACCTGCCAAAGAGCCAACTGCAGCGCTGGTCAGGGTGGGTGATCACATTGACTGGCTGAAGGCAACTAACACCAATCACGACGATAGCTCTTGGCATGACATGAGCATATAAACAATTTGTGTACCTGTCGAGTCTAGCGTGATGAATCTGGTGAAAGGACAAAAACAACTGCACGAAGCCTTGAGCGATGCCATAGGACCATTGCGGAACTGGTGTAGCGTTGCTTCAGCAGCCTCACCAACTCTTCGTAACAAGAGTCCAGTCTACGATCCCCAAGCGGATCGGATTCAAAGTTGCTTTAGCAAACAAACCCGAATGCTTCAAAGATAAATACTGGCAGGCACGGCACCTTCAGCCGTAGCTCTTGCTGCTTGAGCTCCTGAGATGCAAAGGGCATGCTTCTGTGGGGCATGCTTCTGTGCTCATGTCCAAAATTCCACCGGCCTGCTCTTGGTCTTGGAGAGATTCCATGGCCGCACCCTCCGCACCTTAAAACGCGAGCAGGTCAGAAAACCAAGGCACATCAGGGCACTGCAGCGGGGCGCGCTTCGTGCGGGGGGGCCCTGGGGCCCTGGCCCTGGGCATGGCGGAGCTCAAGCTCTGCCAAGCGCAGCCCATGGGCGCTCCTCGTCTGCTGCAGCCGCGCCTCCAAGCAAGCACCCAAAACCCAAAACCCCTCAGAACATCCCCATATATCCCCATGCCGCTTGTGTAGTGGCATAGCGGGTGTAGCAGCACAATGTGATGCACCTCGGCAAAGGCAGCTGTTGCAGCCTCCTTGTCCGTTTCAGCATCCTTCCATGCGATTGCCACAAGCCATGCGCATGGATCAACTCAATACACGCGTGCCCAAGTAGCCATTGTGGCTTCATATCTGATGACAGAATTTTCAGGCAAGGGCTCTGCCTCGACAGCCCTCTTCTCATCTTCTGCGGAGGGAACAGCCTGCAAAGCACTTCTGCTGTGAGCTCGAGTTACACTGGTTGAGGTATCCTGGCCTCAAGCAGCCTTGCAAGAGCTCCACGGAGCTGTTCCAGAACCGCCTTGTCAAAGGCCCCACGGTCCTTGCAACGTCAAACATACTGTCAAGAAGAAGCCATCAAAGGTCTGCTGGCACAAAAACCCTCTGCATCCAAGCTTTAGATTTACCATATTTACCCTGCCTCTGCGGGCAGCTTCAGGGCTGACAAGGCGGCCGTCTTCAGGGAGTCTTCCAGGACAACCTCTGCCTTTCGAGAGTGTGTGAAAAGCTTCTCACAAAACTGAAGAAGACATGTCTTGTTGACCAAGGCAGCCGCCAGAAGGGCGCAAACCGCCTTGACATGCTCCTGGACCTCAGCTCAGGATAAAGACCCATATGGTACCACAGGGTTTCGGAGCCCTTGCCTCCCCTCCCTGGACAATGGCCGGCATGCGCCTCAGCAGCACAGCGTCAAAGGCACGCTTGCAATGTTAGACTGTTAGACCTTGCCAGATCTCGCGGAGCCATGTGGAGCCATGCTGTGAGCCCGCACGTGTCCAGGGCCTCTTGCAGCTGGTCCTTGCAACCAATCACCTCATCACGAGGCGCAGACACGATCACACAACATCACGCCATGATTTCATGCTGTAGATTCTGGCCTCTTTGAGTTTGGCATGGCACCGGCAAAGCTCCTACAGTTCAGGCTTCCTCAAGGCACGCTCGCAGTGCTTACTGGCAGCGCGATGCCTCCTCAGACTGGTCCAGGGCCTTGCGCCGCTGCTGCAGGTTCTGGTTGTCTGCTAGGAACGCTTCCTTTGCCAGACCGTGCGGGGACAGGTATCCAGATTCAGACTTTGTCAGGACACAGCAACTTCCTCGCCTTGGCTTCACGAAAGGCAGAGACCGATGCAGTGAAGTCCTGCATCAGGAGGGACGCAGTGCAAGCTGCGAAACTGTGCCTGTGCCAACCTCTCTGGAACTTCGGAGCTGTCCATTCCTCTCCTTGCAGTCCGAAGCTCTGGTACACTTCCACATGCTCCACAACAAAGCCCACAGTGCCTCTATGAAGCTCCTGCAAGCATCTGCCTGCGCAATCGGTCTCATTGCAGATGCGCCACGCATCACCATGCCACAGGATAGATGATGCCTTGTCCCCGGCTTCCTGGCGGCGCTTGTGGAGAAGCTCCTCCTCGTCATGGAAAGCCTGACCACAGCATGCCCAGTTTGAGTATTGACGTCTTGGAGGCTGTTTGCGCCTCTCCACATTAGAACAGAACCAGCTACATCACAATATATGTCGATGCTACAGAGCATTCTAGCGACTAGAACATGCTGGAAACCCCGCAGAGCCCAACCCAAAATCCGGTTTCAGCCCTCATGGCTTCGAAGCATTGCGAATCTCCACGCTGGAGGTGGCAGTGCAAAGACACGGTTGGTGTTGGCAACTTGCCTGAGAGAAGTGATCTAATGCTGCAGAGACAGCAGCCTCGCGCACCAGCCGTGCAGCTGCATCTTGGTATCGATGACGCTCCTGACACGTGAAAACAACAACTAAAAAGCAGCAACACCTAGCAGAATGATGGCCGCCTCATCTGGGCAGCCATAGCTACCCTTGACAAGGAGACGGAGCCTGCCAGCACGCTTCCGGGTTTAACTCTCGCTAAAAACTTTCCACAAATCCCATGATCCTTGCTCACCTATGCTTCTGCGCTCTGAGCACGGCACATGTCTCGGCCCGTGCTTGAGACTTCCAGCAGCTGGTCCACGGCCTGCCACATCTTCCTATCCACCAATAATTTGGATGCAGTTGTGGACTCAAGTTACCTCTGTGCGTTCCTTAAGTGCCACAAGCATCACTACTTCCGGGGCAGCAGCAGGCGTCATGACTGTGAAGATATGTGTTGCAGCAACCACGATTCTGAAGTACAGAGTACCGTAGGACGGGAAGAGCATTGTGCATTATCGGAGTGCTGAAGAGTGTGGCAATCGTGGCATTTCAGAGCTACAGCCAATTCGTAAAAATTAAGGTGTTTTGCAAGACTTGCTCGCAACCGTTCTTTTCAGCTTTCCTGCACCCCGTTACGATCCGTTTATTGCACCCTTTTTACACAGCCTGCTGCTGGCACGTGGCAGAGGGTTCCTGCAAGGGTAGAGTAACCAATCAGCATTTGAGACTTTTGAAAGCTGTGGCGAGCCAGCATCAGGCATGCATTATGGGAGAAGATCAAAGCTTCACGCAATAGTCTCAGAGGACGTCATGCCGTCGCAAGGTATCAGAGCTTGGAATGAGAAAGTTTGGGCCACTGCTGCAGTTGTACATGCCAAGGGTACGAGCTACAACCTTCATCAAAGTAGGGGTTCCCCAGCTTTTTAGAAGCCCTAAAACTCCTGTTGGACCCGAAATAGAGCCAAGTCCAGAGACAAAGCCTCAGCGATGCAACTTTCTACCTATATAATTGGGCGATATTGGGCGTAATGTTGTAACCTTGTAATAGGTGACAATGCTCTAAACAAGAACAGAAAATGTTGCCAGCCCCTTCCCCCTCCCCAACAAATCTGAAAGAAGATCCGAACGATCTGCATGACTGTCCCAAAAACACTCGAAATGTTAGAAAACCTGCAGGAACGTCCTGCACTGCAACTACCTGCTCACAACGGAGGCAACGGACCAAGCCAACGTCTGTAGGCCTGCTCAACCTCTGTCAAGCACTGGCTTCTCGATTTGCGTCCTCTCTCCTGGGATGCTCCGTTTGACTTCCCTGATGCATTGCAAACGCTGTCCATCACGTGGAATCTAGACACGAGGTTCCCTACCCACAGGATGCTACAGGCTTAGCAAGCAGTTACAATGCTGAACGACTGCGCTCCTCCAGGCATTGTCTCTTCGCGCCAGGGAGCACGCAGCTCCTTGCGGATCCGGACTGAAAAAATTGGCACTTATGAAATTAGAACTTGACCCCTTTACTCCAGACAAGGCACCCGGTGCGCTTCGCATCAGCACCTCAGCTTTGCAAGTGCGCGGCGTCTCAACCAAACTTGCGATGCATCGAAGGCCCGAGGGTATGACACACGCCTTCAGCCATGCTGCTTGGTCAGCTACAACTTCTGGGGATCCCTTATCACGGGAGGGCAAGCGGGCTGAAATTTGTGAAAGGTATGTAAGCCCTGCATCCTCAAGATCAGCTCATGCAAACATTGGGTGATCGAGACCGATCTTCATTCACTGCAACTGCAATTTGTAAGCGCTACAACAAGAATTGCTATCCGAAGCCAGTCGTGTCTGTTTACCTGAAGCATAAGAAGCTGCAGAGGGCAAGCGACAAAGCTGAAATCGGCAAGAGACCACAGACCCTGCATGAGAAAGTCTTCTTTGGTCAGCAGCACAAGACACAGGGTCAATCAGGATCTCCTCTGCGGTGCCTTCCAACAGGCACGAAGGCTCCTGTGCTGATTCTAGAAAAGCGATCCCTGGGCATCCGACACCCTGGAAGAACGGAGGTTGCAGAAGCTGCGGCGGTAGCCCCATCTTGGGAGCTTGGGGTGCCGGGGCTGCCATCGCCTTTAACAGCTTGTGCTTCGGCTCAAAAACACGCCAGGCTGGCAAAACAAGGTAGAACCTGCCTGTGGCATCTGTGCACCGCCATGAGAACCTCTGGATGATCACAAAACAAAAGGGCTCCTACGTCCCTTACGTCTATGCCCAGCCATCTATTCCTGTGCACACCTCTTGCATTCATGGACACAGTCCCGTGCCTGGCATTGCGAGGCGAGCAAAAGTAGGAACCATTGGAGTTGCCACTCCTGACGGCGCCTTGAAATCCGTACGTGCATCCACGCGCCCACAAGGGAGCATGCTGAGACCTCTGCTGAAACCATGCGCCTCACGCCCGGTGGCAAAGAGCATGCCATCCGTTGACCTGCAGGAGGTGATGACAGTTTCACTGCACGGCTCGGCCTTCAGAGCTTTCGGTGTTTCCCTGGCATGACTGGCGTGCCCTGACTGCGCAGGCCATGCTGGCCTTGCTGGCCTTGCATCCCTTGAGGAGCGGCCTTGGTCAGCAGATGTCAGGTGCGGAAGGAGAAGAAGCCGCAGCCATGCGCAGCCAACCCTCGGGCCACCACTTCCAAGAGACCACGTGCCTGGCAGGATGTGTCAAGAAGCGTTCAGGAAACATCCGCAGTTGGGCCTGAGGAGAGAAGGACATTGCCGTAACGTCGGAGCGGTTTGAGGAAGAACACGACAGCCGCCTGACAGCGAGACAACAGTTTCGGAGCATGAGCAAATTCAGTTCATCGCAAGAGCCAGCCGAGCTTATGTGGCACGTTCGGTCGTGGCACTGAACACGGTTACGGCCCACCATTAAGGCTGCAACTGTCTGGCATCTGCGCTTGCATTCAGAACCTCGGAGTCAGAAAACGCTAAAATATCATGGCGCGTTGTCCTAGTGAGCGTCTGCGTCACATGCCAGGCACACCCGCAGCTCTGCCAGCTCAGACTTCAGGGCACTGACCTGTCAAGGCACACCGCATCTGGAAGCCTATGGAGAACCGGAGAGGAGCTTTGAGATGCGTGGACTATGGAAGCACTGGGCCTTGAAAAGAGTTTCGAGCCATTGGTTTGCAGGCTTTACAATGGGGGGGCCTTGGGGTTGGAATCCACACTCCCTGCCTGTTGCTCAGACTCAGCTAGCCGCATTCGCAGCGCAGCTGATTCTGGCACTGTGTTTGCGACGGCATTTTGGCGACTCGCCAGTTCCTCGTATGCCTCAGGAGGCAGCAGTCAGAGGCAGTAGACAAGCTATCCTGGAACCCGCCTTCTCCAACAGACGCAGCTGCTCCCTCAGCTGCACCACCTCAAGACAAGGCAAGGGAGTGGAATGTTCAAGCCTTTGGTCCTTCACATGCCGATGCCTGTGCTTGGGAAGCCTCCGCCTGCACTTGCATCCAACAAAAGACTGGAGATCTGGGGGGTGGGGGGAACACAGCTGCAAGGCCGAAGACTGGCTTTAGCTGAGAGCCTGCTTTTGCCACTGCACGGCTGCTTGTTCCACAGCTGTGTACCTGAAGACAGAAAACGGGTGAGACTCCAGAACCATCGTCCGGCACTGAGGTCATGGCGCAGCTGTCTGAGCCTCGGTGCTGGTCGCCTTGGTGGGATTGGAGTTTGGGGTTCTTGGACAGCTAGAGCCTTGACTCCAAGTGCAAGGGCACAGGCATTTGCTGTTTCCTTCCAAGCATGCTCCAAAGCGGCCACCTCGAACGAGGAGCTGGTGAGGCAAGGGCAACACCTTCTGAGTTCAGCCCCTGGCTCGCTTTTCGAGCGATACCATGTCAGAGGCCTGCCATCACCCACACACGCCCTTAAGGAGTCAAAGCTGCAGAATAGCTGATCTTGACTGGATGCACACAAACATTCTCCAGCTTTCACCAACTTTTGACATGTCAAAAAGGCCTGCTTGATTGGGCAACCGTTCCTGCTTTCCAGTTCCTGCCAGGCTTAGTGCTAAGTGCGCCCCTCACATCAAATAGAGAGCTTCCTGCCTGCAAACGCTCGCTCAGTTGCAGGGCAGCTGCCTGCAGAAAAAGAGAACAGTTGCTTCTCACCTTCAGGGAGGAATCTGCATGCCCCGCCTGGGATCCAGCTTCGTCTGAGCACCCTGCACGCTTCACTGCAACGCCAACGTCTGCACCCACAGCATTTTAGACTTGGTCTGTTGGCAAGTGTATGCTTTTCGAATTCACGATGCTACCCTGATTGCGTGGCTGACCAAACTGCGGACTTCTGTACACAGCCACATTTCGGCCTGGAGTGCCACCCCTCAGCATCGCAATAGCCTGCGACTGGCAGGCTCTCAAGCTTGACTTTGTCCAAAAGCCGCACCTCATCCTTTTCGGCGAGCAGGTCACGCAAGTGCCCAAGCAAACGTGGGCGAATCAGAGACCTTCTGCGCAGGCAGTAGAAAATGCGAAAGTTGCGAAAAATCTTCTGATCGCCTGTCAAAAGGCATGGCTCCGGTTGCACGGTTGGCAGGGGCCATTCACTTTCCTATGAGCGTCCCTGTTGGGGATTTCAACTTCCACTTTGAGATCGGAAAAGCTTCTTAATGCTTGCTCGTGAAGTGATATTGCTGGCTGAGGTTCGTTCGTTGCGCGTACCCTCTCAGAATGATGCATAGCAGCGAATCAGCAGTGAAGCGAATTCACCTTTTGGCACTGACCCTGCGCAGGGCTGTTCGAGCCGATGCCCAAACAGGCTTTACTTGTGCGAAGTTGGACCACCCTTCTGCTAACAGCAGTTGCATACCATGGAGGCAGAAAGATGAAGCCTTTTAGCCCAGCCGCGCATCACCACGTCCCAGTTGTTGTCCACGAATCTCACGATCTCCTCGTGGATCTCTGCACTAAGATGCCTTGGAAGTGGCTCAAGTGCGTTCAGAGCCCCTGATTTCTGTCTGGGTCCTTTCTGGACTGAAACGGTCCTTGCGGCCACACAGGCCTTGGAGTCCTATCCCGTAACGGGCACATCGAGGGAGTGCCTCAGGTCAGCGCTGGAGACGCCGATGTGGATGCGGACTCCAGTCTGAAGGATCCAGCCACCAGCAGTGGTCGAATAAATGGAAAAATCTCGGGCTGTGAAACTGAGCTCTACTCTCTCAGACTCGCCCGGTTTTAAAACTGAGGTTTTTTGGAAACCTCGCAGAACAAGTTTTGGCTCCTGAGCCTCAGGTGGAAACCTTAGCTGCGCGACCAACCTTCAGAACATAGAGCTGAAACTCCACACTCAATCCCCCCCACAGAAAGTCAGTTGCCACAATGCCGACCACGTGACTCGGCATATGCCTGTACGACTTCTGCGCCAGGAAATCTTGAGCCGGCATTGGTGACGGTGGTTGCCACGCAAAGCAGTGCACTGCACTCGTAGACTTCGGGAGCAGCAATATCAAAGTTTGCATAGGACAGGCCATGGCCGAACGGAAAGGCGGCCGTCTCAGATGCCGATGGAGCCCGGTAGGATGTGAAAAGACCTTCACTGTACGGAACTTCGGGGTCATTTCCTGGTTCAACTGTGTGGCTCTCATGCTTTGGGATCATGAGCGGCAGCTTGCCCGATGGCGACACTTCGGAGAACAACAGCTGGGTCCAGCCAGCTCCAGTGAACTCACCTCCCAGGAACATGAGAGCAATGGAGTCAACAGCTTCTCGCCATGGCAGGACCACTGTCCCAGGGGCTTGCACCAACACCACCACCGGCTTGCCAATTTTCGATAAGGCTTCAATCAAGGCATCAGCACCGTTGTCCAAGTGTAGCGATGCACGGTCGCGGCTCTCTTCAGCCGTCGTTGCTACAAGGACAACAATAACATCTGCATCCCACACCACAGAGAGCGCCTCTGTGGCATTATTGCTCAAGGAGCTCGTGGTGTAAATGTCATTGGCCTCCGCATACGCTGTGACTGTCATGTGGGGTGTCTTGAACCTTTCAGGCGGGAGATAGCAATGCCCTGATCCTCCACCGCTGTAGTAGTCCCCAAACATGCCCAGCTGATCGGTGCTCAAGCTTGGAGCCTTCCAGGCATCGCCAACTAAAGCCAGCCTCTTCACATTCAGGAGGGGAAGAAGGGACTTCTTGTTCTGCAGCAGCACTATGGACTCTCTGACAGACCTCCGTGCCAAAGCCAAGTTCGCTGAGCTGCGCTGTTCGGAGAAGACAGGATCCATACAGTCACGGCCGGGGGTGCAAGCGGGTGCATCAAAAAACCGCATCTTGTGTGCGGCAGCCAAAATCCTCCGAGCTGGTTCCTTGTAGAGTTCAGTCTTCTCCAGTTTCGCGTAGCCTTTGAAGCTCCCATCCTGACGCTCCTCCATTGCCTCCAACTTGTCAGGGAAGAAAAACGTTTCACCACCAGCTCCTGGCATCTCCATGTCAAGTCCTCTTACGACCGAAGCTTCGGCCGGGTCATGGAGTGCCCACCAGTCCGTCATCACAAAACCTCGGAACCCCATCTTCTGCTTCAGATCTCGCGTCAGCAGCTCTTCGTTTGCACAGGCATAAGTCCCATTCACGCGGTTGTAGGAGCACATCACGGAGCCTGCGCCGGCAGCAACGCCAGCCTCAAAAGGTGGGTAGTAGAGCTCCCAGGCTGTGCGATCATCCACCACGGAACTTTCTGTCATTCGGTTTGTCTCCTGCTCATTGAAGGCAAAGTGCTTCAGGCAAGCCATGACGCCCTGCCCCTGGCAGCGCAGGTCAAACGACATGTCTCCCGACGACTAAACCTTTCTTCTGGCTATGGCTATGATTCCTCTGACGTGCCTGCACCCCCTTGACGTATGCGGCAGACAGCTTTGCTCCCAGGTATGGATCTTCACCTTTGTGCGCATGCTTTGCTCTTGGAAGAAGGCTGAGCTCAACCCTGCCGTGTGGCCTGACATGTACTCGAAGTTCCGACCTCAATGCAGCCGCATGCAAGCTGTCATGTCTGGGCAGCTCCTGATGGGCTGCCGGCCGTTGCGCGCAACACGCTGCACCTGGCAATGGCAAGCCCTGTGATTCAAGAAACTACAACAAGAGATCAGCTGCCAGTGCAAAGGCGTTAGCAGCCTTTCGCTGAGTAAGTAACTGTCCCATGTTTCTCTACTCTCCACTGAGAGCCTAGACACCATCCCAAGTCTTCAAGAATATCATCTCACCAGCACTACACAGTCTGTAGACATAAAAGTCACAGGCCAAGTTATTGGAAAACAGACCTATGGGAGGGCGCCTGCACACTTGGACCCAGGATGAGGTTGGACCCTTTGCCGCGATATTCACGGCCAATCTCGGCAGCCACCTCACACAGTGCGGACTATCTCAGAACCAGCTCTGGGTATTGTTGGGGCATGCCTCTTCTACGAGCTTCGGATCCCAGGATGCACCAAAAGCCAGTGAGCAGGGCCACATCACCTCGGCACTCAGCTAATTCCTTGGCTCAGATGGAGACCGCTAAAATTATATCATTACAGGCAGGAGTCGGTGCTTCCAGCTTTTCCTTGCCCACCAGGCATGTTACGGAAGCCATTGCCGGCATCGTGGAGCTTGAGCGGCGGCACCCCCAGCCGCGGGATGGCAGGAATGTTGCCCATGTAGTGGCCGACTCAGTTGGGAAACATCTTGCCCGACAACTGTGCTTTCTATTGCGTAAGGCTCCAGCGTGCTGGGATAGCAGGCAGCGGCGCTGGCAGCCCGTACGGCATCGAAATCCAACCAACTCCCTTAGCATTGAGTCGCAAACATGCTTCGCAAAAGGCAATTTTAGCTGGAACGCCATGAGCTGCAAAGACGATTTGGTAAGCGCTCAAGCTGCAGAGTTTGCTGTTGCATTCACAGATCACGCCCATCTTTGCGGGCAAAGTGCTTGCATCAGCGTGTGCCGCTCTTGCTGGGTCATTTTTGCCAACGTCGATGCAGCCCGGCTTTCTGCTTCCTGCAACAAGATATTGCAGTATTCATTACGCTATTTTTCAAAGATTGGAAAGCGCCAATGCTATGTCAAAAATAATAAATCCTTCAGGGATCTTTACGGTCTGTGGCTGTGCGGTGCTGCTGTCGACAACTCCGACGAAGATGACTTTAGCCATGTTCAGAACATTTTCTGGAATGCCGACACCAAGCCTAAATCCTGGAATCACGGCTCACGAAGGCTGCTTGTTGCCCTTTGCATGCTGGCCTCCCAACTGAGGGGTGTCATGGGGTCGCAAAGCACACCTATCTGCTTGCGCTGCCTCGCTGCCTGGCACAGAAGGCACGTTACGACGCACCCAACGTTTTCCAACTTTGCATGTTTTGCATGGTGACCTCTTCAGAAGTGTCGGCACAAAGATGCTGACGAAGCTGAGGCGTCTCGGCAACTGCTAGTTCCGCACGATATCGCGGCTGCGTGTCCTGAACATCAATCAGGAGGTGGTGTATGGTGGAGTGATCAGCTTCAGACAGATTGAATGGGTCCTGCGCCCAGATTACCGGCTTGAAAGGGATCATTACCTCAAGGCTGGCAATTTAGCGTCTGGCTGGGATCCTCCACACTGGAAGCAAAATCTATGCCAAGTGGCGTGGACAAGCCAGGCCAGAAAGGCCACAAGAAGGACCCGACTGACCATCGTGCTTAGGGCTGCGATGAAACAACCTCCAGCAGAAATGCTCAGAAAGAGATTCCTCGAGGATGATGACATGTTCAGAAGGCCATCTGCCTACTAGGCCAGAGAAGAATGCCGTGGTTCCACACAAGTTCCATGCGGAGTTGATAGCATCCAGGTCATCGCGCGGCACGCCAGAAGCCTTGTCGCCATGGGTGCTGCGCTTTGCAGCTTGCGCTGCACTGACACCAGTCATGCACGCACTGTTCTGAGCAAGCAACAAACACGGATGCCCACACAAGGAGCACACCAGCAAGAAACATCGGCAGTCGCCTGCCAATCTACACTAAGAAAGAAATTGAAGACCCACCGTCTCCTGCATCTCCCGCCTGGATGCCACAAGCGCTCCAAGCACTATGTTTGGGACCTGCCAGTTGACATTGGGCCTCAGTCTCTGCTGCTTTGCTTTCGCGCTTGGAATTTGCGTCCCCTCTGAGTGTTGCCGTGCCGCTCGTAATAGAGTCTCCAGGCCAGTAGGGATGCAAACAGCAGACCCGTCGCAGCGTGGATCCCCCTCACAGTTGCCGTCACCGAGGCCATGGTTGGCTGAACTGGGTTCTACATACGCTATGATCAACAGCTGCAGCACCCAGGTTCTCAGCCTTGTGTACTTCTTTACCGAAGGCAAGACCCACAAACGTACTGTGGAAGAAGAGCAACCTTTCACAGCGACGGCTCTGGCACCAGTATAACTCGAAACATTGCAATTGCAATCTTTCAGATCTCTAGGTCACCGTAGGTATCCCCACATCAAAGAATCATCATGCAAACAAGCAAGCTCAAAACCATCCAGTCGCGCTAGTTTCGGCAGCTGGCCATTTCTTCGAAGTCCTGTTTGTGGCAGCTGCCAGCCGCAACCATTAGTAGCAGAGCCATACTGCCCGGCTCACAACGGTGATTTTGACAATTCTTCCTGCAATTATTGCAATTCTTAGCACCGTGTTCAGTGACACTAGTACGGGGCTTCACCAAAACTCTTCTTCTACTTCTGCTACAGCTACTGCTACCGCTACCGCTACTGCTGCTGCTGCTATCTGCTGCTACTACTGCTGCTACTGCTGCTACTGCTGCCTCTGCTGCTACTATCTGTTGCTACTACTGCTGGTACTGCTGGTACTGCTGCTGCTGCTGCTGCTGCTGCTACTACTACTACTACTACTACTACTACTACTACGACTACTACTACTACTACTACCACTACTACAAGGCGCGTACTACAAGTACTACTAGTACTGCTAGTACTACTAGTACTACTAGTAGTAGTACTACTACTACTACTACTTCTACTACTCCTGCTGCTGCTGCTGCTACTGCTGCTGCTACTGCTGCTGCTGCTGCTGCTGCTGCGGCATGCTGCATCCTGCTACTGCCACAACTAGTACTTCTACAATCAGTACTACTCCGACTGCTCATACGATTCCTCAGACTTTTTTGCCACAAGGATCGCAGCACCAGGCTTTCGCATCTTTGGATGCTACGTCTATTCTGTCACTAGGGCTTCAAAGTTCGAGCCCTGTCACCTCTATCAGTTCAAGCACCTGTCACGTCACAAAAGAGGGCGACTGTGACACAATTTCTTCTGCGGAACATGGACCATTCCTCTTGCAGTCCCCTTGCAGTATCGTACATGCTGCACCTTGAAGGCAACCCCAAGCGATAAGTCCTGCAAGGAGTTGCTACTCTCAGCCTCGCAAATGCAAGGTGCAAAACTTTTCGCAAAGCAAGTTGTCCTCTCTCATGTCCAGCGGAACCAACGCATCAGGCACATCCAGCCTTGTTGCGCTCTTCGTTTTAACATGTGTAAAGGCTTGCAACGTGTGACAGCAAAGAAGATTGTGTTGAAACCAGGTCCCAACATCTTCAAGGTGTTCAGGATGGAGTCGCTGGGATCGCAACGGCCCTGGTGCAGGTCTACTGTCCAGAGGCAACTTGCAGATGCAACGTCTGGCCGCACTATTCTCTCTGAGGCGCTGAAAGGATGGAGCTGAAGTATGGATGCTCACCTCAAAGTGACATGAAGACGTGCAAGCAACTGCTGGTGCTATCGACACACCCAAAACGGCAGAGTTTGCCTACCATTGTTATTGAGTTCTGGGCTCAACTGCATGTCCCTTGCAACGCCTTGCAAGTACTTTTCTGCCAAAGGGCATTCCTCCTGAGACACACGGCGTTCAAACGGCAGCAAACCGCACACGCAAAACCAACGAACACCTTGCATCCGCGTCCGAGCAGGAGTTCGTAGTAGTGTCTTGCTATTTGTTCGTCGGAACCTGATGCTTCGAACATGATCATTGGCCCTGATACATGGTTTGTGGCTCCCTATTGTGAAGATTTGGCAATTTGGGAGGCAGGCCGAGGCGAAGCGGGACCTTCTCGGCAAACGGGCAAAGCTCACCTGCAGACATGATACACAAGAATTACTATGTGCACCTCATTCAGGGAAAGGAAGCTGGCGTAATCCGAGAAAAGCAGATAGCGTCTTGCGGCCTCACAACCACCTGCATTCTGCGGATGTATCGATGGTATACAGTATACATCAGAATCTCTACGCCATGCTTACTCCTGCAAAAAGTCAGTAGACAACCGGAGTTATGTAAGGACAATCGTCGGCTCCAAAAAGCCCTTCAGCAAGACCCATCAGCTGGGGCCCCGTCCATCTCGCAGAAGAGGCCTTGTCTGAGAAGGAAGATATGGGCTCCGCTTCATGAACGTGAAACATGAAACATAGCCATGCACTGCTGGGGTGGGCACCGAACCTTCTTGATTGCTGCGTGGCGTGCCCAGGCCCGGCAAAGCAAGGCGGCAAACAAGTCCTGGAGCCAGACAACTGGCAACGTCTTGATCTTTCTGTGTAGATGATCGCTTCAAGCTTGTCATGAAGCCTTGCAAGGTTGGGGATTCGGAATCTCGTAGAAACTTGCAAACATTCGTTAGAAACAGGCAAGATACATTACAAAAGATGCATGTCAGCAGCCCTTAGGAAACAGTAAATAAAGCCCTACTACCTTTTGCAGAGCCTGCCATCCACGAAGGGTCTGGGATTCTTATGGATCAGGGGTAATTAGTCCGTACAACGCTAGGGATGCAGAGTTGAAAAGCGGAAATGCTGGAGGCTTCCTGCAAGCAGTCGCGACTGACCATTTTGCGACAAACCTGAGAGGAACCATAAACACGTTCGCAGATACGTGTCTCAAAGGGGTCAGCATTGCAGGAATCACGCTGCGAAAGAGCTGCCTGCGAGAGTGAATGTAAAGTAAGGAAGGGTAAGGTTAACATCAAGAGATAAGTCAAAGGCGTGAGGGAAAATTCTAAGAGGGCAAGCAAAAGGTTGTGGTAAGGGCAACAGTGCGAAGTCAAGTAATGAGGAAAAGGGCAAGGTGATTGATGCGAAAGGGATCTGCATGCGACTCTGGAGACCAGGGGGTGCGCACGCATACCGTGGAAAATCCCAAGAACGCGGTTTGCAGGCGCTGAGGGGCAAATCTGCAAGCCATTCTTGAAATAACCACCTTTCATGGTGCAATGTAACATGACTAGCATTGTCACTGGTGGTAAAAGGTTGGGCAAATTCTTGCTGTAAGGCGTGGTTGGCCAAATTCTTGTTGTAAGGCGCGCAGTTGCTCTCAAATCCTGGAGACTTACTCCTGTCAGCCTGTGTGGTGCATAACATTAAGTCTTCCAGCATTGCTATTCTCGTGATTTTTCTTGGACACCGCTTGGAGCACAAATTGACGTCCTGCTTCACAAGCACTTGGTCAACGCTGTCGTTCACCCCGAGCTCGAGATAGTCCTACAGTTTCCACTCCCAGCAGTCAAGATGACTTTGGAAGCAGACCAAACTGGAAGAACACTGGCCTTTCCCGCTGGGATGCCTTCTAGCCGGCAGAGCCCGCGGAGCATGCCAGACCCATGGCCTTCAGTTACCACACACTTGCAGCACTGTGCCTGCGCACACTCTAAAGCCCCCGGCGCAGGTGCACGCATCCAGCAACGCCATAGACGTCCTTCTTGCCAGGGCCGGAAAGCAATGGAAAGCTGCGGCTGATTCTTATGAGCCTTGCCCAGACCAACCTGCACTCCGGCTCCAACTTGCCTTGATTCCCAGTTCCAGCGCTTTAGCAGTGCGAGAACTTGAGAGGGTCACGCAGAGTTCCGGACTGGAGCCGTGCCTGAAGCTGTTCACGCTCATCCGAGTCAATCACCTGGCCCTCGGGATCACCACAGATCCTAAAACTACACGGCAAAATCAAAAAGCCAAAGAACACTGCTTGGACAGCTGACTTGCACTGTGGCCTCGGAGTCCCAGGGCCGCGGCTTTGGGGCCGGAACCTGACAAGCAACTACAAACCACAACACCAAGCATCAACTGAAGGCTACTTGGGCATTTAATCGTCTGGACTTCCCCAAGCTCCATCAACCACAAGTCTTTGGGCTGTGGCCATCCACCAAACCAACACCTCATCTGTCCAAAAGAACTCAGCTGCAGTCTCTGGCGTTCCTCATGTACAGTACTCATCAACCCTGGCTTTGCCGAGATGCATCCATGATCGTCCATGCGCAAGAACGCCGTCGGATAAACGCAAGATTCAACGCGCTGTCAACCCTGCAACTTGTGAAAAATCAAGAGAAAATGTGATGTACTTCACCTTGCCCAGCTGTGAATCAGTCAGATGCCTGTGAGCCAAGATCTGAAAGCAAACACTTGCACAATGAAACTGCTCTCCAACATGTTGCAAAAGCTGTCTGCAATGAATGTGCTGATACTCTCCCAAGCATTGGATTAAAAAGGGCATCGACATGTCAACCATGGTATGTTCGACTTCTGCTAGCCGTACCTTGTAGAACAGAATCCAGACAGTACGCTTGCCTGAGAGTCAAGCTCAGAGCACTGGGCCCTGAACAATCCTCAACTCCGCCAGGAAATGAAAATACCGGATGACTCAACGTTACATGTCCATTCATATTCACTCCGAATGTCACCTCACTTCCATTCATATGTACTGCGTGCTCCCATAAAGAATTCTCGCTGTGCACACATGAGCCATTGTCTAAACTCCTAGTATCCCCCTTAATATCCCCTATAGTAGTCCCCTATATAATCCCCTATATAACCCCTTTTAAGGAGTTTAGACTATGGCTCACATCTCTGCGACCCTTGGGAAACATGCTAGATCCACGCACTTCCCGCCGATTTCTTTTTGCAGTCTCAACAATCTGCTCTTGTCAGACTGCAATGTTTGTGTTGGGCAAGTCAAGCGGACTTAGTCCTCCCCACATGACGATCAGCCCTGACCCGGAGCGAGATGCTCCATTGGTCTCTAGAATGTCTACAGAGTCTACAGTCTTTATGCTGCATCTTTAGTTTGTAGAATCATTTGCATCAACGACCGTCTTGCACACCTTGATTATCTATAAGTTGGAATACACTATCCTGCAGGGACATAGGCGGGTGAAAGCCCCAGCAGCCTCCAGCCTCACTTGTCTTTCTTCCTCTCAGCCTGTCAAAGACAGTATTTGAATGTCGGAATTCCTTGAAGCACTCCAAAAGTGGGAGATGCTGGGATAGCTCTTTTTGTATCCTCCGCACATGCAAGGTGCTGAAATCAGCACCTGCCTTGATTTATGTACATGGGATTTCTTGCCTTCAGGTTCTACATGACCTCTTCTGTCTGATTGCTGTTGCCTACTTTGTTGTTTCACCATCGTGGGCCCTGTACTGCGTCATGTAAGAGACTTCACTGAAGGCGGCCCAACCCTGAAGCGAAGAGCGCAGCCACATTGATTTAAAGCACCTGCTATCCATTATCCCAGCCTATCCTATCACAGTATAAGCATTCTAAGCTCATGCATGCTGCAACAGAGAGCGGGGCAAAGGCTCAATCAGGAATATCATCGTATTGGGGAACTCGCCGAAAGTTGCCTCTGGGGTGAAGGGCAGCTTGCAGGGTCGACTTTCACGGTCCCATGCCTCGCCTCCTCCACTTCTGACATACGCTTGGCCTGACGACTTGCTGGGTTATCATGCCCAGGACTCCTCGCAAACTACACCACCATGTCATTCTGAACAGGTGCCGTCAGAGTCGTAGTGGAGCAAGCCATGAGAAGACCTCCACCCAATGTGACAGCAGATTCTGCAAGGATCATCTTCTGCAAAAGACTGGGCAGGTCCCAAACGGGCGTCTCATGGGCCTTCCACGAGACACCAGGAAGGCTGCGCTGAAAAGCAGCCATAGCCTCAGAGAAGTTAACTGCCAGGACTCCTGTTCAAAAGATTGGGGGTGACAATCAGAATATTCCAAGAGGCCCAAAAACCTAGACTTGCACTCGAAAGGACCTCCCAGAACCTCCGACATCTGATGATGAGCTGTGAAAATCTGATGTAATGGGGTGACAACTATGGACGATGAACTTCCAGGAGCCAGAAACCCGAAAGAATCACATCACTCAATTGTCTCCGCTGCTCTCTTTCGATGCTCTCACTACAGCAGTGCTACTCCTACTACTCCCAACACTCCTACTACTGCCAACCCAAGCCGCCAATCCTGCTTGATAGATACCCGCAGACTTGTTACCACCAAAAAAACTCGCCAAGACGACAGATGTCAAAATCATCTTTGGGCGCGAAATCAGCGGACTCGTCAATGGAAACTTCGAACAAAGAGACCAAGCTGCTTAAAAAAAAAGGCTAGGGCGCTGGCGGCCAGCACCCAAGCAAGTTCACGGTAAACCGTGCCATACTGCGATGCACTAGCCCGCCACGACGCCAAGCCTCAGTTTGCTAGGTTGTCGCCAATCGAAACTACAGGCGATATCTTACAAGAGCCGTGCTCTCCCTTCGCGCAAGATTTCCCACCTCAACTTGACGAGGCATCAAGCAACAAAGCATGGAGGGCCGGCTGGCGCACGTCGATTTTGGCGGAGGGGTGGACGGACGAGCATATTGCCTTAGAAAGGCGGACACATTACAGCAGGATGCAAGACGAACACCGCGCACTCCTTCATTGCTGTCCAGCGGCGTGTAGTAAGGGCCCGCCGTACCAGGAAAGCCGTGCCTGGCTTCAGCATCTCTACCCACAGTCTGCCACCTAAAACGAAGGCGCCTGGTGTGAAAGTTGTCAAAGGGGCTGCTGGCCCTGGGCGCCTGACACTGAAACACCGGAGAGCTTGGCTGCTGAAACGTGTCAAACCTGAAATAGTAGTTTCCGTTTTCTTTCCCAATATTTCATATATATATATATAGATATATACCCTAATAATCCCGATATGACCCCAATATGTCCTGCCTCACTCGAGGCCTGGGCCTCCCCAGATGTCAATGCCTGCTGTTCAGAGCCCGAGCTTCTATAGTCCCCCTTAAGTAGATAGAACATAGGGGTTATATGGGGATAATGGAAAAGAAAATGGAAACTACATTTAGGGTTTAGGGTTTAGGCTATAGTCCCCCTTAAGTAGAAAGAATATGGCTTTGGATATCGGTATATTATAATGAGATCCCCATATACCTCATATTCTGTCTACTTAAGGGGGATTATAATCACAACGCTCCTGAAACTGGTTGTACCTTGTACGCATGTTGCAGCTGCTGAAATGCTTGCGGATCTCCTGACTGACCTTGTTCCACAGATTAATACTGACATACCAGTTGCACATGTTCTGTCCATAGACTAGCTGCAGCTAAGCTCCTGACTGGTATCAGGATGTAGCTGCTTGGCCTGCAACCCGTTGAAGCTAATGGAGGAATTCTGAATGAAAGTAACAATGTTATATTGGTTCAAATTAGAAAGCAATTTGAAGCTTTTTTAGAAAGCCTCCGATTTGTGTGAGCACTCCTCTTTTCCGAAATGGATACGTTTCCGAACCTGGAGTTCGTGCTGGTGCATGAGAACGCATTCGCACAAGTGTCAGTTCCTTTGAATCTTTGGACTTGGCCTGAGACTTGTGCTTTGCAGTGCGGAGCTGAGGCAAGTACAGGCGCTAAACGAACTATCTTGACGTTTGCCTTAAAACCTGGGTAGCCGTTCTACTGAAAGTTTCCAATCGTTTCGGAATGCAAAGTGAATGCATGCAGCTCAAAGAGCGCTCGGTACACAGGCGAAAGCACACAAGCTGTCACACAGCCAGTCCTTCTGCAAATACGCCTTTCGGATATCTGAGTGGGATGCTCCTCGGGACACACCTCAGCGCAGCATGGCTGTCGGAAGACCTTTCTAAACTCGCCAAGCGCTGGGAACTTCACCCAGGATTTGGTGCGGGTCTGACAGGGGCGCCGTGTATACCACCTCAAGGCACAGCCTACAAATGCAGTCGTAGCAGTGAGGACAAAAACAGGCCCCGGCCGCCAGCCCGCGTCAGGCCGGCCTTAGCTGCAAAAATCCCGTGCTTTGCTGCATTGCTGCCATTACACCTGTCAGCCTTTCTGCTGAACAAGCAACAGCCAAGGTCGAAACGTGGAGACAAGTACCGCTAGACACGATGTATACACATGGCACTGTCTGCGAGTTGTGAAGCTCAAGCCACGCGCTGCAGCTGGGAATCGGCATGTACAGCTCAGCACCAAGACAGCGATGTGGACACATATTCTCACATACAACTGCAAGCCTCTTTGCCGTCATGTTCCTTCTCAAAACGCTTAACCTTGGCATGTCCATGCATACCAGCGTCAAACAAAATATGACCTTCTGAGAGCATTCAAGGAGGACCCTTCGCAGGAAGGAAAAGAGTGAGATGGCTAGCAAGCAGACAGGCGACCGTTCCAAAGCACAAGCAGCATTGGCACGTCAACATCCTACCATAATGCTTACATGATATGAGCATGTAATCTTCTTGAATTACTGTAACCACACATAGATGTGATGCGTAGAATCAGCTGAGCCCGCTCCTACCATGGCAGTTTCTTTATAAGGCCATGATATGTTCTTGCCTTTCTCCACAACAAGATGTTTCTGCAGCAGGTCAGTGTCATGGATACTTGCGATCTACATAAATGCATCGGTGCACGGGGAACCTGATCACAGGGCCTCCAATCAAGTCTCCCCAGCAGACTTGGAAATACTGCACCCCTTACCAACATGGGTCTTGAAAAGTGTGCACGTGCTATCCTGTAAGCTCCTTCCTTTACCACACCCACATGATCTGCATGAAAGCTTGAGCGCTGTAGAATCTGAGGAAGCCGGCCAGCTTTAGGAAGGCCGCCAGGATCTCCTGTTGAGCTGCACGGGAATTAGGAGTAGCCTCTGGAGTCTACGACACAGAGATACACTTCATGAAGCAAATGAGGACCAACATTCAGAACACAAGCAGGATGAGACGTCTGCCGTACTGGACACCACACAATGGAAGTTTTCCAATAGCAAATAAGAACTGTGAGGGCGCCGTAACAGCATTCCAAACCGCCCAAACGCAGAACGCTGTTACCAAGAAGCAAACAACCAGCAGACAGTGGCGGGAGCATGAATCGCAGCATGGAAGGCGCACTGGTTGCCGCAGGATCGCGATCCAAATGCTGCATTACGCACCAGACTCTTACTGGAGCACCCATGGGTCCAAAACACGGCAACCTTCCCACAAGAACACGCAACAGCAAAAACATGCACCGCAGTTTGTCAAACACAACTCTGCATATTCAAAATCAAAGCAAACGTGCAGTGATGAGACCCACGTCGATCCAGTGCCAAGAGCGTAGAAAAATGTGGCGGGCGCACCGTTTCAAACCCAAATACACAAAACAGCATTGTGGCCGGAAACACCAGCAATCGAATGCCTGAATTCATGCCTGCAGGAATTGTGAGGAAAAATCTTGAGACTTCAGGCTTGTCTGTAGGCGCGTTTTATTTTGAAGGCCACCTAATTGCGACGACTGCTGTCTTCAGGCTGGCTGTGCAAACAACTCCCTGGAGTCAGAACCCTGCTTCCGGACTTGCAATATGCTCCTCCTGTCCCAGGTAGCCATCGCTGTCGAAGTACTCCCCCACCGAGGTCTGCAAAATCAGAATCCAGTCAGACCCCCCATCAGCTTAAACTAGATAGTGGAAATGGGTTAAGACACTGCACAATGCAATTTACACGGCAGAGTTGCTTGCCACAGCATACTTGCGTCATGCGACGCTCATGTCGTGAAAGCCACACCGAGCTTCAATGGTGGCCTTGTGGCAAATTGGAGTGTCCTTCTTCCTGACAACATCCAAAGCACAGGAATGCAAAATGCACGAGCTCGTTACACAGCACACAGCTGCATCCAGGCGACAAGCCAATGTGATTCCTGCCAGGCACAGAAGGAGCTAGAAGAAGCCCATGCTCTGCCCAATAAATTTCTCTTCATGTGCTGCATGGCGAGTGCCATATCGATGCTGAATCCCAGAAGGTTCAGGCTCAACAGGACCCCCGCAAACTTTCCAGAAACCAAGGATCTGCTCAGTGGCTGCTATTTGATCTGTCAAAACGCTTTCTATTTCAATGTGAATTCAAGAAAATCCTAGTGTTTTAGAGTCCTTCAACTCCTAGCCCGCAGCAAGCGACTGTGTCTTGCTTTGCTGGTATGAGCCTCAAGCCAATCGTCATCTCGTGGGAGAAGGGCTGCATAGTCACGTCAACGAACACTGTTTGGCCGCTGACCTCGGAAAAATATGTGTGTAAAAACCCATTAGGGGTTATGTTGGGATAATGGAAAAGAAAATGGAAACTACAATAATGGGTAATAGGTAATATTGGTAATTATTCAACAAACGCAACGTTGACCTCTCAGCTGGTGGCCTTGATGCAAATAACTGACGTTTTGATGACCTTGCAGTGTTGCCCCATTCCAAAATTGCTCTTGGAGGTCAATGCCAGGGAAGCTGTTGCAAAGCGTGCAGAGCGCCCAGCTAGCATGTCGATTAAGGTGACCAGGCCAGTGAAGAAAAAGTAGCCAGCGACACACACGCCGATCAAGAACCTGTCCTTTCAACCCAAGCCACGCTACCTCTGATGCACCTGTGCAACACATCAGGCACTCAGCAGTCCTTCGGAAATTTAAGCACGAACTGCGCATAGCACCCGAAGGCGCAGCAAGCGATGCACAGCATTATCCGGATGTTTGTCCAAAAATGGTCCTGGACAGGGAGCAACCAGTAGCTGACACCAAACCTTAAACTCAGGCACGTTGCAGAACTTATCATGTACAGCGATGGCTTCCATAAGCCAGCATTCCCTGCAGGAAGTCAGGGATGTCTGGGAAAATTGTGCATGCTTTTAATTGCAGCTATCAGATTGCACCCATGAACAACCTGGCAAGGCACGTGCTTTGCTGTATATTGTGTGAACAGTTATAACCAAGCTATGAAGCAACGGAGCTGAATTCATATGTAAGACTGAACACATCTGGCTCCTCCTGAAAGCCCATGCGCGGCAACCTTAACTGCGTCCAAGTTTCAAAAAAACGAACTGCAAAAACACCCTCACGAATTGGTACGAACAAGTTCCATTTGTCATCATAAAGCGGTTTGTTCGTAAAACTAACATACCAACATATGTTTTACAGGAAGCGTGCCATGTCTAAACCAAAACCTCTACAAAAACCATGATGCAGGCAATACCTCTGCTTCCACCAAGGATGGCACGCATCATTGAAGAACTCATTCGCGGCCTCACACCAAATAGAAAAGCAAGCGCAACCAAGCAATCAACCAATGCGCAAGTACGTCGAACCTTCAGCAAATCTGTCTTGGAGTAGAGGCTTCCTGCCTGAGGTCAACATCACAGAATGCCCAAGCTAAAGAGTGCCACTCATAATTTCCGTGCCTTCTTGTCATCGATGTCTGGGAGCCTGACAGTAGTTGGCAATGTGCAAAAAGGCATTGTAAGACACCAATGTCCATCTCTAAGCCAACCACTCCACACCGGCCATCACATGGAGCCACCTGGACATGGCACATCGAAATGGGCTTGCGTGAGCCCATCTGTCAGAACAAGCAACCTCCAGCGATGGCACGTCCCATGATCAACGGCTCTACACTTCCTTGGGCCACAATGTTCCGAACAAGTGACAGACCCTCGGGATTGCCTATGTGATTCACGCCTCGGGCAAAATCTTTACAAACCCTACTGAACACACACAAAGCCTTGAAGCCCTGCAGTTCTAAAGCCTCTGCCACCTCTACACACCCCAAACTTTCAAAAAGCAGAGCCGGAATTTCTCAATTGAGAAAGGGTGGATTCTTGCGTTCCAAAAGATATGTTTAAGAATACGTGGGATGAAATAATGCACAGGTGAATGCATGGTCGTTTTTAGTCAACAAATGTCACCAGCAATTTGAAGATTGCCCGACCAAAACTTTTTCATTCGGTGATATGTTTTGACTAAGCTAGAAAGTGTTTTGGGGTCCATTTAACAATTCTCTAGTCTTGTGGTGGGCCAACAGCAGCGGCGTGTTGCCAATGGTAAGACGTTCTGTTTGGCTGCAGGAAACTGTTTCGGAATCCGCGTGCTGTGGTATGGATCATTTTAAAAAAGTGCATGTCCGGACGCGGGTGGCATGAGCGTGCTGTCGCATGGTGACAACGTTTTTTGGAAAACAAACCGTTTTCGGTGGCTAACAGCTTGTGCCGACTGCATCCGCAAGGTCTGTTCTGCCATAGGGCATGCGCAAGGTGTTGCATTGACGCTAAAGACTATAAGCCTTGAAGCCCTCTTCAAAAGCTCCAAAGCTCTCATAAATTTCTTTTGTAATAGTAGTAGTAGTAATAATAATAAAAATAGTAATAATAATCGTAGTAGTAGTAGTAGTAGTAGTAGGAGTAGGAGTAGTAGTAGTAGTAGTAGAAGAAATAGCAGTAGTAATAATAACAGCAACAATAAAGCCAAACTCTCCTTGGAAACCCTCCAGAACCTGGTAATGGAGCTCGTCCCAATCCCACGGTACGGTCTCTTCAACACAGTCCCAATTGTGAAAAGATGGCAAATCATACCTCAACAGCTAAAGACGGCAGACGCGCATGGGCGCAAGGTGGAGGGTGGCCAATTGAAATCAAAACTCACGTCATGAGCGCGGTAAGGCTGCGACTTGACAGATGTGGCCAGTGTCAGTAGCAAGGCGACTGGCCGCGCCACAAACATCAAAGGCGGGCAGAAGGCATCAGAGAAGGCTTAGGGAGCGCTCGCGGCCAGAAATCTTCACCGCAAGCTGCCATCCCTGAGCCGAAAAAGCTGCCTGCAGCACGTAAATGCAGCATGCTGCTTGCTGCTTGCCTACCACATGCCAAGGTTTGAGAGCCCAAAACGTACTTAGCCGGCAGCTGCGTGGGCAAGAGATGCCACCTGATTCTGCCATCCAGGCTTTGGAAACTCGGAACTCAGAGACTACTGAATGCAATTGTTCGATATCGTAGTTGAATCGTAAGGTTCACTGCTCCTGCTTTTGCGTGACAACCTACAAACAAGTACTTAGTCACTGGCGGGGGCGATGCCGCGGGCTGCACCAAGTTGCAGGCAAAGCTTGCGTCCGCAATGTGGTCTGGCAGATCGGAGCCGAACTTGAACAACAGCCAAAAAATCTCATGGAACATTAGGAAACGAGGAAGAAACTGCACCAAAAAATGTGAAGACCAAGCAATCAAAATAGCAACAATCCATTTCCTTCAAAATCACGACCTTTCTTGTTGCAAGCAGCGCTTCGTCAGGCACGGACGCTACGCTTCCTGTACTCAGGCCCCTGCTCTGCCCATCCCAGACAGTCCATGGACCTCTTGAGAGTATCGGATGACCCAAATCCTGGCAACCAGGTAGTTTCCCAAAATAAAGGGACCCTAATAGAGACCAACAAATACTATAGTCCTTGTTAAAAGGATCCTAACAGGGTACCCTAATTCTGGGAAACCTGCACAACAAGGTGCAACAACAACCACATTGACAGCATGCATTGCATAAAGATACAACTGCTGAGACGGGGAACCATCAACATGAGCTACGCATGAATTATGACAAGAAGCATCATGTCAAGAGCTGATGCTTCTGTAAGACTGTTGTCATCTATCGTCTGAGATACAAAAAAAAGGTGCCAGAGTCGCTCCACGAGCGAATGCCCAAGCCCCACCATCGGCATCGTCCAGGACAGCCCACTCCAATCGATCAGGGCACCTAACAAGCTGCGCGGATCCGTGGAAGATAAGAGCACTGGAAGCAATGAAGTACTACAGATACTACAGAAACTGGGGATTCAAAGTAACCATGAAGGCCTTTTGCCCATGACACTGCACCTGCAAATGTGATAACATCAGGCGCGAATCCTGAGAACCCGTCCAGCGAAGCACACAGCGCCCCAGCCGATAAGCCGGCCGATTTTCACAAAGAAAGGGCCTAAGTGGCCACCGAAGGCATATCTGCGGCAAAAGCCTCACAAGGTGAGGCATGACCTCATAATAGTAGTTTCCATGTTATTTTCCGTTATCCCTATATAACCCCTATTATGTTACCTTATGTAAACCCTACACAACCCCATTCTAGCAGTTTCCATGGTCTTTTCCATTATCCCGAATTATCCCTGTATATCTCTTTGGTTGCTGAGGATGCCACTCAAGTCTGTACACACCTCGGCTACTCAATCCACCTCTATGAACTTCTTGTAACCTGTCTGGCCGCGCACCGCAGATGGCCGTCACGCGCACGGATGCCGGATCCTTGCGCTACTAAGACATCAGCTGACCAAGACAAGCCTGTTTCCTACTATTGTTATTACTATTATTAATACTACTATTATTGTTATACTACCAATAATTTTATTAACATCTTGATAATTATCATTAATCATATTATTGCTACTATCAATATAAGACCCATATTTATAATATTATCATTGATCATTTTATTGCTATCATCAATATAAGACCCATATTTCTAATAGTATTGAAACATGAAGTTCACCCACCTGGACCCGCAGCTGGTCGGGGCTCAGGGATGCCCGGCAGTTGGCACAAGATGTACAGGACAGGCTCACCTCTAGCCTCAGGATGCGATCACTTCATAATAGTTCTATTTTGGGATAATGGAAACAGAATGGAAACTACTATAATGGGTTATATGGGGATTATAGGGATTATACAGGGGTTATATCGGGATATAGTATTGGTAATAAAGAGGGAGAATGGAAAAGAACATGGAAACTACTATAATGGGTTATGTAGGGATTATAGGTTCAACTTCGAAACAGGTCATGCGGATGGAGAGCAAGTTGTGGTGCAACCCCAATGATCTGATGATGTAACAATGGCCCTGTTGATGTGTTTTCCGGAATGAGTCTTGCATAGTGCGCTTTGGAGTGGATCATAAGAAATTTCCAAAAATTACATGGGGAGACCCCAGCTTAGACCCAAAAATACTATAATCCTTATTATGGGAACTACCAAAAAAAAGGTACCCTAATTCTGGGAAACCACCACTAAAGTCTGCCTGCCGAGCTGCGGCCAAGCAGTTGACGTCTTCGACGGGTCGTCACAAAAGCATAAGCCCTGACGGAGCAGGACGACGTCGAACAACTGGCCAACCTGCACCCATATATTGGATTAATATGGTAGATACTACGCATAACATTAGTAATATTAATGCTTCTAAAGATATTAGGCATATCAATGAGTAAGAGTCGATACTAGTAATATTTGTCATGAAGATATGAACACTGTTGGGGCCCATCTCTGCTGCAGGCTGAGACATCCCTATGTTCCCCCAGTTTCCATTTCATTGTCATGTTCTTTTCCATGTGAGTCTCCAGTATTCAGCGATAATATCCCCCTTTTTGCAACAGGCTTGCCAAGTCACGCCTGGAAAAGCCGAGCCATTATCCCCCAGACCCTAAACCCTATCCCCTAAACCGTAAACCCTATCCCCTAAACCCTTTTGCTGCAGGCTTGCTGAGGTCCACGCTATCCCCTAAACCCTAATTCCCTAAACCCTAAACCCCTCTCTCTCTCGCAGACTCGAAACGTCAGCTGCCTAAACCCTAAAACCCTGTCCCCTAAACCCTAAAACCCTGTCCCCTAACCCTGAAACCCTAAACACGAACTCCAACCTCACACTGCCCATGGCCATAGAGCTGGGAAGCGAAGTCCTTCCGGGAAATATGACTTGCAGTCACCCTCATAAAGATGGGTAGTTCCCAAAATTAGGGTCCCATTTTGGTACCCCCTAAATAGTAGGTGCAAAAATATCATCTATGACCAGATGGGCCCCTGCTTTTGAGAACACCACATGTGATTCGTTAAAGCTTCCTGCGTGTTGTCGAGGAAAATGAACCGATGATCCAAGTACATCGGGAATTGCCACGGCAGGGCTTGAGGCCTGGGCGACCATGATCGCAACATAAAGTGCACACATGGCGTCTCACATGCCCGATGCTCAAAACATCCGTGGGTTGCAACAGCCGGTCTGCAAGAGAAACATGACTTACCAGTACCCATTCCCAGAACAGGGCTTTCTGCGCATGACAGCCTCCTGTACTGACACGGGCAGAGATATTCGCAGCCCATGCATTTTGAGGCGCAAGCTGCCAATATGGCATGACCGGATTGCGCACATCTCCGCCATACACCCGAATCTGCGGCGCAATGACAGTCATCGACTAGCACCGGAACGAGCAAAGCAAGTCGTCCTTCGTTCTGTAATCAGACCATGCTCCAGCAGAAGAAGAAAATGAATGCGCCAGCATGACCTAAGCCAAACTTTTTTATTCCTTAGGTCAGCACCAGACAAAATCTGCTCGCGTGAGGCAGGCGCACTTGTTGGCACGTACCTTGCCTTGCGAGAGACCGGGCATGAACGACGATTCTTGAGGTCCTCTGCCACAATCATTGCGCCTGCGCCTCTTGCAGCATGTCGTCAGCACAGCCATCAGCAGCTGACAAGATCTTCACACATCCATTCCATCGCCCCTCACTGCCTGACCAGTCAGTTCGAAATGTTGATGCTTCCCAGATCTGCTTGTGTCTGCATTGCAATCCATGACCATGGGCACGACAGCTTTGCCTGAAAGCACGTCGAAGATGTATTTGCATGTCGAGTTGATGATCTCGGCGCAATTGCCCAGGATCTCAGTGCTATCCTGCTGCAGCTTGAACTGCTTCAACAAAGCGTTTTAAACACATGCATCAAAATGGGCTCCTTGATGCTCCTCCAGCCAGGCAGCTCACGCTCTCCACGGCCACACACCGAGCCTGCAACCATGGAAGCTGCGACTTTTTCAGACTTGGCTTGAGCGGCGCAACAAGCCTAGAGCATACGGAGTGGGGCATACAGCACGAGGCATCCTTGACAAGCATGCGCTGTTACCACACTCAACGCCCCTGCAAAACAATTTAAAACTGCATCAGGCAAAACACTGTCGTAGATCTGGCATAAGCCCGTCGGTGCGGGTGACCGGCAAAGGTTGTTGATGTGCTTGTGGGTCCTTCAAACACACGCTCTCTCAAGAGCTGACACACATTCATGGCTAACTGCCAAGTGTCCTGGTAGGACTCACGCCCTTGGGCTTGCTCATCATGTGCCCAGCCATTCGAAGGCCCGAAATTGCGCAGAAGACTTTCGTCCACGTGGGACACATGCTGGCGGACGTTTTTGTCCGCTCCAAAACCGTTCTGAGCGTAGCGACCGTTCTGATGCTCAGAGTTCAGCATCCTGCGCATCAAGAAGTCTCGAGGCATCAACGCAAGCAAATCCACGCACATGTGAGAATGCCAGCCTTCGCTCTTTGGCTTGGGTTTTTGTCACAAACTTGGCAGGATCAACCTGGCAGGGTATGTGGGGTTTCCCTGCTTTCGCTGCTTGCGTGCTTTTTGCCAGGTCTGCCTTGGACCGCTGCGCCGCGCTTTGGTGCCTGATATAGTCGATCACGCAAAATGCCAAACCAGCATCATGTAACCCGAGGTGAGGGCAAGCCGTTGAAGTCTTGCCCACTCTCGTGAAACATATCGCGCGGGCAGTGTCCACGGCCCTTCGTCAAGGCAGGGTAGACAAGTCAATTGATGGCGTGCAATTCTGATTTTCAGTGCACCTGTTGGCCATCACGATGGCCATCACGGTATGTTGAGGGACCACGGTCTTGTTGCTGTGACTGTACACCGCACGCCTTGCAAGAATAGGCCCGGCTTGGAACGGAGAGTTGCCTGTTGTTCTGGGACATGGACACTTCGCGAGCGAGCTTTCGTCTGCCCAGGGCACCTACTGCTGCAGCTGTGGCCGTCCTGGCACGATCACATGATAGATGGACTTTGGCTCTGTGACGAAATAGAGTTGAAGTCTAGATGAGACAGCTCCTGGCAGCTGTTCATTCGACACGCTCTCTCGTGCCGCTGCTGCTGTGGCAACCTTGTAAAGCACCACATGCTACAAGGAAAACATCATACACATGCAACGGCGCAAAGTTGCCGCCCACATGTCGCAACATAACGCAAACCAGGAACTGTTGGAGTTGCAGCTGCCGCCGCAGCTCTTGATGTTCAAGTTCAAGAGCCTGCCCAGCGGCAATTCAAGCACGCAAGCCACCATTGACAAAGGGCAATGCTCTTGACAGTGATCAATACTGCAAGTCAAAACAAACGGTTGCGAGCAAGTGCGACTGACTGCCTTCAAGCGGAGTGCTGCGCTGTGAGCAGATCGTTGATCCCCAAAACCATTTCCAACGCCTCCGCAGTCGATGAAAGGACCCGCATGTAATTTACAAGAACATGCATCAAAAAGAATGCGCCTGCTTCCCATGTACCTTGATTGGCACATTTGGTACATCCGCCGCCTGAGCAATATGTCGGCGCGCCATCAACCTGTAGCCCGTGACCCTTACAACATCTCCTTAGGCAGTGGCTGCCGGCCCGGCATTTTAAATGCGCTGGCCAACCGGTAAGGCGGCTTGAATCCCCTGTCAACGTGTGGCCGAGTTTGGGGTCGCTCATGAAACATCGCAAACCCAGAGCTCAGACATGCACGCGGACACTGAGTCCATGAGACTTCGCCGTTTCTGTACATCCTGCCAAAGCAAATGATACCAATCGTAAATCGAGAACAGCGCAACTGCCGAACCTTGCATCAAGCTGGCGGGGATCAGCCTCCGGCACCTTAACTGTTGCAAAACGACAGTATTTGTAATGGTAACTCGAGCAGTAATAGTAGTAATAATAACAGTAGCAAGAATTACACCGATAATGACAAGAATATAATCATAATAGTAAGATAATAGCAGTTCTAATATATACTAGTAAGCAGTGAAATTCAAATGCAAGAAACATTACATGTCCCGGAGCTGACCTCCAGACTGCCAGGTACCGGGAAGTGCCAGGCTTGCGGCCTGACAATTCCACTGGCCACACATCCCCTCATCGGGAGTTCATCGGGAATAGGGGAATATGTTTTATAAGAATTGTGTAGGAATTATATTGGGCTCAGTGGGGATTAGGGGAAAATGTTCTATAGGGCAGGGATTATGTAGGGATAATATTCCCTTTGTCCCTACTACATAGGCTCGCTTTCACCTAAGGTGTGGCGGCGCAAAGTTGATCAATTGCTTTCACTTGGTGAGTAAATATTCTCACGCTGTCATGCCCATGTGTCACTGTACACGAGGCTTTTGACTTAGCTACATGAGCCATTGTCTAAGCTCCTTAATAACCCCGATATAATCCCCCATATAACCCCCCAAAATAAGCGTCTTCAAGGAGTTTGACTATGGCTCACATGGTTGCCAACTCTGTGTAGGAGTGTTTGCTAGAAATGCTGGGGCCCTGGCAGCTGCGCCGGCCAAGCCTCAAGTTCAGAGCCCCTTGAAAAAGCCATTACTGGGCTGCTGTTCAGGAACTTAAACTAAATCACCAGAATATAGGTATATAAATATAGTAAATAATATGGTTTCCTTATTTAGTCACTTTATCTTAACAAACATATGTAAATTCCTTAACAGCACCTCGGGTTATGCAAGTGGGACGGCCCAGGGCTCGGCCTCGGCACTGTCCATGCGAACCGGCCCGCCAGGCTTGTTCTGCAACAATTGAGCTGCATCACAACATGAACCCTTTCGCGCGTCATTTCTTACTGGTTGGTAGTAGGAAGTATTGGAATGCAATCCCGATATAATCCCCATTTCATACATTTCCCTTGTTCATCCTTGTTCCCGGCATGCGGCCGCCTGCAACATCATGCCATCTGTTTGGACCGCACGCCAACCACATGGCGGCTGCAGCATATTAGGACAAACCCAGCCTGAAAACCAAGCCTATTGTGGCCATGCTGTGGAGTCAAAGTGATCTTTGCTGGCTGAATGGTGGCAGATTGCCAAGATCTTGCATCCATATCATATGTAAGCTGACTCACAACTGTTGTTGACGTGAATTGTCTGCTATACTTGAAGAATCATGCACAACACCTGCTTGATTATGTCCGGGCCATGGGCAACGTATTAGCCATTAGAGTGTATATGAGGTACATGTTCCGGTATATTGGGGTTTGTTGGGGTATGTTGGGATATAGGGGTATGTGTGGACATATTGGGGCATTCGTGGCTATTGAAGGTGAGTTCAGGGTATCTTGGGGTTTTTGGTGTTTATTGGGGTCTATTGGGTTATGTTGGGCTATATTGCTTGAAGGGGAGAATCTCCCTCAGTTAGCTCTTCTTTGAAATTGAATGAAGCCTTTAAGCTGTAGTAGGATCGGGGCCAACTCGTGCGCTTGAAACCTTTAAAATCAGAGGCCTTCATGACTAAAAGAAGGGTTCCCTTTAACTGTGTGTGCGTAAGGATTTCAAGCGGAGCAATATACGGGGATGATGTTGCGGGGCTCTACTATGATCCCAAGCGAGGAATATTGGACATCATTCAGGCTCTTGCATTAGTGGTGCTGGCTCTGGTGCTGCGCAAGACATGCACAGCAATGCAACTTGCTTCCGGCATCTTGGCTCTGGCTTTAGAACGTCCAGACAAGAATGGTGTTTGGCTGAGCGCGGCTTGACTTGTGCAAGCCAATATCATTGCTGTTGTGGTATACCGGGCTATACTGGGATATCTTTGTGTATGGGTAGAATGGGCTATAAGGGTAGCTTGCGCCCAAAACACGGAGTGGTGGCGCTGTCAAAACTTGATCATGCGAATAATTCTTTGATGTGCGCATGTTGGCACATCAAACTGACCGTGCCACCTGCTGACAAGCTGCTTTTGGTTGCAGAGTCAAGTCAGCATCAGCCTTACATGCTGGCTGATACTGCACTTGATATCTGGCACCACCGCCCAGAAGTGTTGGCAAAGGGAGAAGTGTTGGCAAAGGGGCAGTTGAGGCTTGTGACATTCTCGACCTCAAGCTGCCCACCAAGGACTTGTACGTATTCTCATAATGGAGGTGAGAAACTTCCAAAGCATCGCATATCGTGTCACGCACAAAGCTGTTCATTGAATCAAAACCTCCAGGCATTCGCTCAATCAAGTCATGAATCATGATCCGGTCGTCTTCGTCTGTGGCTTCGGCACTGCGGGTGTCCAGCTGGGCGACCGTTTCGGCAACGGCCACAGCAACATCAGCTCCAGCCTTCCCTTGCTGCAAGACACCTTGTGCCCACAGGGCTTATCCTATATAGTATATGATAGTACATTATATAGGGGTCATATAGTAAGGATAATGGAAAAGAGAATGCAGACTACTAGATGAAGGTTTGGGGTTTAAGGCATAGCATTATGTACAGTACGCCTTTATAGGACATTTATATAAGGGTTATCAAGATGCGGTATAGGGGAAAGAGGGGCATGCTGCAATCTTTATGTGAAAGGTATCTGGGAACCCCCAAAAGAGATATTGCAATTTCGGAAACCCCGACCTGTGGACGTACACAATAGCAAGCCCTGAGAGCAACCACTTTGTGAAAGGCAGATTGTTTGATAAACTTCAAATAAACACCAGATGCGTTGTAAAGGTTGAACCAGCTCGTGAATAATCATGGTAGTGCCCTTGCACTCTGGACTTCTCAGAGCAAGGTAGAACGAAGAATCTTGCCATTGCCCATTTCCTAGCTCAGCCTTCACGTGCCACTGGCAGTTGCTGAACGTACAGATCCAGTATGCTGAGCTTTGCCAATCTCCTTGATAAAGATTGAGCATGCTTCCGGATGGCATCATTGAAATGGCGAACTGGCATGCCCCAATAATGACTGACGAACCACGCGGTCTGCAACTGCATAACAGACCCTAGAGCCCATTGGACAGATGCACGCGTGGCGATTAATCAGGTGCTGCCTGCAGCAGCTTGCTCACAGCTCCTTGGATGCCTCTTAAAGAAGCCTCCCACTTAGATTTGTACAAATCAGCCTCATTCTGCGGGCAGGCGCGGCGCTTGAACCTGTCTAGATGCTTCCGGGTAGTGGTGGCACCACAAACTGTACATGAAAGGCTAGGGCTTCCACTCGGGAACTCATCAATTTCAAGCACATGCATGCCTGTGCTGGCTGCACGCAAGTTGTGCTGATGCGCACGCCAGGTGCCCTCAATCCTGGTCCTAAATAGGAAACCACTAACAGGAAATTGCGCTGCAAACTCTTGTAATGACATGTCATCGAAACTGGATTTCACCGGAAGTGTGGACGCTGGATCACGTAACAGTCCTCTCACCTGCTCTGACATCTCAAGTTCATGGATGGGAGTACTGGCAAACTGGTGAGGCGGAAATGCCGTTGCCTCGCAACATGCCGTGAAGGAAGATACAGCATCATTCCAAGCTTGCTCAAAGCCCGGTTGCTTAGCACGTGGGCATGTGTCTGTTAATGCCTTGGCTCTGTTGTGGTGCCAGTACGCCGCCATGCACAGTGCGCAGTGCTGCTGTTCAAGGTGACCATGCTCAGGGCGAGGTAGGTGCAGGCAAGACTTAGGGCCTAAGGCATTGTGTTTTGCTCGTGCTCGGTTCCACTCATCGGCAGCTTTTTGCTTGTTGAGCTCAGCAGAGGAAGCAGCTCGTGACTGCTGACCGAGCTCGCGAAGGCGCGCGAGTAGTGCCGGCTGAGCTTGTTGCATTGCTCGTATTTGCGCGGTAACCTGGATGTCTGGCAGCAACTGGTCGCGAGGTTGTGGGATCCATTCAGTGACTCGGCCGACATGTGCTGGTCTGGTGGATTGCCCACCCTGTTCGAGACCTGTGCCGCTAGCAGAATCATTGGCAAATTTCGAAAGGACGGTATAGACCTGCCGGGGCGCGACGAGGACTGGCCGGGGCTTCACTCCCGCTGAGCGCCGCATGCCAAGATGGGATAGGGCCCAGCAACACATGAGCGGGGTGCACAGTTTATGGGAGCCCGAGGCTTTGTCCAACCCACGTTCCAACACAAGACACATGTTGTGTATGGACCTGGCTCGTGAGATGAGGGTGGACGTGTTGCGCCCTACGCTGTCAAATTTGGGCGTCAGCTCGCCCGATGGTGGAAGCAATATGTGCATGGAGGACTCGAAATCTAAGGCAATCTCAATCCACGTGCATGTGGACTCCGGGCGCACCACGTCCCACTCAATGGATGCCATGTAGGCCAGCAAGGCTGATAGATACTGCGGCCCCCAGCGAAACTCCTGCAGCACTGCAACCGAGAGTGGCTGGAACACGAGATGCTTGGTTGGCTGACCCGAGGGCCTGAGTATCTCCATGATGCTGTCAACCATGCCCGTGGCCGTGCTAACACTGGGTCTGGTTGCCTCTTCCACTCGGTCATCGGAGGCTTCATCATGAGGCAAGGGGCTGATGCGCGCCTTCATGCACATCGCTTTCCACGTGCTTCACAGGCGAGAAACACGGTAAGCTTGAAGTATCTTGGCCATCCAAAGGTTCCGGCGTCCTAGCTTTGGGGTGAACGTCCTGGTGCCGCGAGCGGGCTTGCAAGCATTTGAGGACAAGAAGCTGCCTGGCCTCCGTTACATCGCACTGGGCCATCTAGGATGCAATGAGGTGCTCCGGTGCATGGTGACGACGAATGGCATCAGACGCTAAGGCGTCGGCTGCACTGTTGCCTTCAAAGTCCTCAAAGGAAATGCAGCCGGCGGCGACTGCGGAGCCATGCAAGTGGGAGTTGACGTGCCGAATCCGCAAATAAGGCTTGTGTCTAACCCTCACTTGTACCCAGATGGCCTGCCACACATCGCGGTGCGAGGCTGCCGCCCAGTGATGGTCATTGGGGAGGGTATCCTCATTATGAGCAGACTCAAGCAAACGAAGCACACCGTCATGAAAAGTGAGGGAGTCAGTGACGAGCTCCAACTTGGCAGGTCCCACAAGCAGCGCATAAAGCCCGGCCTCCACTTCGGCACGCTGATTGGACTGTGACGGGCCGCGCAGTGGGAATGAACCATTAGCGGCATGGCCCTTGGCAAAGAACACTCCAGCACCAGCGAGAGCTAGGTGTGGGGTAGCATTGCGGCTGCAATTGCCGTCAGTATACACCAAGGTCCACGGAGCTGTGTGACTAGGAGAGGGCCAACACCCTGTCAAGTTGAGCTCGTGCAGGCGCTGCTTGGCACGGGCTGCTTCGTGCACAGCAGTTACCTGCGGAGGCCCCAAAGTGAGCCTCCAGTGTAACAGCTCCCTGTTCTCAAGTTGCCCTGCCAAGCGGGCTTCCACAGATGACCATGTGTCGACTTCCTGCTCTACTGGGCCAGCCTTGCTTTGGTACTGCCTTCTGAGCTCACGGTGGCCTGGGCACTTCCATAACATGTGTGTGAGGGTTTCAAACTCCCCGCAGAGAGGACATGCTGGCGAACACAAGACATGGGTCAGCCACAAACGACCGCATGGAAGCTGCGCGCCCGCAAACAGCGTGCGAAGAAAGCCACGCTCGTAGGGCGTAATGACTGACGAACCACGCTATTGTTGTTGGCCCAACAACTTCCGCGAAGGAAAGCTGAAAGGGCTCGGTCAGGGGCTTCACGATATTTGCAGAAACGTAGTACATGGAACGCTCCTTGATAAACGTCTCGAAGAACCTTCACATGCATCAACTTGCTCCAGGTTCTTGATGTAGAAATGATTGCAATTAGAAACCAAAAAGAAAACATCAAGGGAACGCACATGTAGCAACCACATAGCCTGGCCTAGCCGAACAACCTCGCGGTGGTCGCTACGGTCAAGACAGCTGGCCAAGGAAATGAGACAATCACACATCTGGCCTGCTCAAAAGAACATCTTCTGGCTGCTACATCAACCATGCTCTTCCTGCACGTGTCTCTCATGCAGAAACTATGAACGATTTTTTTGCCAAAGACCTCTGCTGCAACCCAGGCACTGCACGAAATCCTGAAGCTTCCCGGCAGTAATTGATCGATCAGGCCCACGGCTACATGGCTCAAGGGCCAAGGCCCACTTTTTGAGAAATTGGCGTCGCCTCTTCACCAGCGGCGTTCTTTCACCCTGCCTTTCAGGGGTCCCGTCTCAAACCATTCTACTCATTACACTGCTGCAGTTGTGTTGCGACCGCTGCGTCCATGTTAATTGGGCATTGTAGTATGTCGGGCTTCCTGGGACACTCAAGAATCAGCGTGTTTAAGATTATCCTGATTTGGAATGATCGCGGACACCGGGACCAAGACATGCGAGCAAAAAGGAAACAGAAGAAGCATGTCCCCACCTTCGTCGCAATGCAAAGCAAAAGGCACCTGTGCAAAGACTCGACCCACACACCACCATTGCCAGAGACCAAGTAAGCTGACTGGCAGTGCCTGCAGCAGCTGCAAAGAAGAGCAAGCACCACAAAGTGAGTGGACAGCGCCATACCCCGGCAGAGAGAAAGAAATATGGGAAGCCTATATGCACATGCCCTGTCGAGGTCTCCAACTGCATGGTGCTGTCGTCCCCATGCAAAGTCATTTGATACACACTCAGGGGCTTCACTCTCCAGATTCGAGAGGACGACTCCAAGTCAGGAACACCAGTATCAGTAAAGATTGCAACGGTGCATGCCCATTTCAAATGATAATGTGGCATGGAAGTTGTCAGCACGACCTTCTGGCCCTGCGCAGAGACATCTGCAATGGGCAGGCGGCTGAAACAACCTGTCAAGAATAGTAAGGCTAAACAGGCTGACGTCGCCCAGGAAATCAATGCGAAAACAATGTGCATGGCAACGACTTCGCAGGTCTGGTTTGTGGCATCCGGGGTCATTTGAATGAGCGAGCTTTCACAACTCCTGCAAGCAGCGCTATTTTGACTGGAAACATGACCCAAGGGACAGCCCTGGCACATACTGCTTCCCCTACCCGCAAATGTCCCTGCAGGACATGGCTCACAGCTCACGGCAGCTTTCGCAAAATGCCCAGCATTGCACTGGCTGCGGGCACCACTTGCAACGCCTGAAATGCTGCCTGAAGGGCAGACGCTGCATCTCGCACCGGCTTCAACAGCATAGGTGCCTGCTGGACATGGTTGGCATGCGACACTGCCTGGTTTAGGAGCCTGAAATCCTGCTTGGCATCTGGTGCACGTGCTGCTGCTGCCACCTGAAATGGAGCCGGCAGGGCAGTTGCTGCACAACTGGCTGTTGACCTCATATTTTCCTGCAGGACACGCGTCACAGGACCAGGAACCGGATGACTTCGAAACGGTTCCTGCGGGGCAAACCGAACAGTTTTGACTTGCCGGGCCAGAAATCTTGCCAGGGGGGCACTCGCTGCAAAATTGATTGTCAACCTCATGCGTCCCTGCAGGACATGGCTCACAGCTCACGGCAGCTTTCGCAAAATGCCCAGCATTGCACTGGCTGCAGGCACCACTTGCAACGCCTGAAATGCTGCCTGAAGGGCAGACGCTGCATCTCGCACCGGCTTCAACAGCATAGGTGCCTGCTGGACATGGTTGGCATGCGACACTGCCTGGTTTAGGAGCCTGAAATCCTGCTTGGCATCTGGTGCACGTGCTGCTGCTGCCACCTGAAATGGAGCCGGCAGGGCAGTTGCTGCACAACTGGCTGTTGACCTCATATTTTCCTGCAGGACACGCGTCACAAGGACCAGGAACCGGATGACTTCGAAACAGTTCCTGCGGGGCAAACCGAACAGTTTTGACTTGCCGGGCCAGAAATCTTGCCAGGGGGGCACTCGCTGCAAAATTGATTGTCAACCTCATGCGTCCCGGCAGGACATGCAGCACAGGCTGAATTACCTGATGTCTTTGAGACTGTGCCTGCTGGACAAACGGAACACTTGCTGCTTCCCAAATGGGAATACTTTCCTTTTTCGCACTGCTTACAGGGGCCTCCTGCCTGTGAGTAGAAGCCTGCAGCACAGGAGGCGCAACCTCCATCATTCTCTTCGGTGCCTGCTGGACAATTGCCTTCAACACATGTGTCTCGTCCATCCTCATCCCTGCCGTAGAAATAAGCCTCGTTGCAGTTGCATGAGCCATTCCCCATCGCCATCAGGGCACCGGTAGAATTGTTTTGAGAAGCTTTCACTGCTTTCGCTGCTATGTCATCATAACACTTGCCTCTGCCATAACAAACGTGGCCACCTGTACCTGGACATGCTGCGCAATCGCGTGCCATACCCACTGCCTTCGACACACTGTAAAAGTGCGGCTCGCAGCCAGAGCAGTCACCCAACTCATGGCCTGCTACGCAACTGCAATGAGTTTGCCTGGGTGCACAAATGCCCTTCCTGTAGCAAGGCTCAACCGGCACGCAAAGGCCAGCACTCCAAGATTCCACTGTGCCACTACGACCCATTGAAATGAACTTAAGAGATGGCCGTCAGCCAATTTCCCCAACCCCAGCTCAAAAAATCCGACTGTGCGGGGCAATTCTTTGAGCTGGCTGAGGTTCGTTCCCAAGCACAGGAAGGCATCATCGCATTGCAATTTGTGCGCAGCGTCATGTTCACAAGCCTGCACCAATCCATTGTTTTGTCTTAGCATGTCAAAGTCACCATCTCCGTCACAATCGAGGAATTTCCCAAAGCTGCCAATATCTTCGACTGATCTGATTGGGCTTTGCTCCAAAGGCCACTCGTGCAGACTTCCATCTGCGAGCTGTTCGAAGTAGCGTCTGTCAGGCGGGCCGAGAATCAAGTCCATGTCACCATCGTTGTCAAAGTCCACTACCATGGGTTCAACCAGTTTGTACGGCAATGGTGTGATAGTATTTGGATATAACCACGTCGTCTTTCTCAAAGAAATGTTTTGGAACGGATGTTGCGGAGCCTCACTTTGCAAGCTCCCTGAAATCATTTCATGGTAATGGATCTTGCCATCCGTTTCGGACAATACAATGAGATCCAAGTCACCATCTTGATCCCAGTCCATCATGGCCGCTTGGGCACTGTAATTGTCCTGCAAGCTCCGTGTTACATTGTCAAAAACACCCACCACTTCCCTGAGACGCTGGCCGTCGAACTCGTGCAGACGGAGATGCTTTGAATACATGAACCCAAGAAGATCAACCCGGCGGTGCTCCAGCAGCACCACGTCTTCAAAGCCATCTCCATTCCAGTCTACAATGAAAAGACGGTCAAGAGTATCTTGTTTCAGGTCTTCATAAATATCGATTTGGGTGTTGCGTGCCATACGCCGATCTGACACATGTTGAAAAATCTTCTTCAGGGTCCAAAAGGCGCCCGACCATGCCACGGCCAACACGTCTGGCAATCCGTCCGAATTCCAATCTGCCACGTACAACATGAATCGGAATTCCTCTTCCTGTCTAAGTGCGATGTCTGCAAAGGGATTCTCTGCTGGCTCTACAAAGCTACCATCACTGGCATGGCGAAAGTAGCGAAAACCAGCTGTGACGCTCCAATATGTGAAATAGCTCTCCCTTGTAAGCACATCCAAACGACCATCACCATCCACATCTGCCACGCACTCGACCTTGCCGTCGAACATTTCAAGCGGATTTGCTTCTCCTTTGCGCTCCACCAATTCTTTCGGGGAGATGCGTTCAAAGTATCTGGAATAACGGCTGGGTGCAGATGTTGTGCTACCAAGGAGTAAATCGACATCTCCATCTTCATCAAAGTCCAGGGCTTGCATATCACATCCGCTTCCTATTGTCAACAAAATCACTTCCTGAAGCTCAGACGCGCGGTCCATAGTGGGAAGCACGGTACCACTTATCAAGCTCACTGTCACTGAATCACCAACCAGGACGCAAAACAAAATATCCAAGGTTTCATCACCTCAGTTGTCGCTTGAGCGCTGGCCGAACTTAGGTTTGTGATCAGCAAACAAACAAAAAACAGGCACGGGATTGAAACAAACAAACAAACACGATCAAACACGTTTGCCTTGAAAAGTCACCATCCCAATCCACAACTTCAAAACGAAGTGATTCCGCGAAAAAGTAGTAATGGCCACGCTCTCCCCACTCTGCTGCGACATTCTCAGTCTCTATGCCAGGAAAATCTGCCAACTGGTGCAGACGGAATGTGCCATTTGGGCAGCGCTCCTGGAACCAGACCGATGCATTTTCTATATCCATTGCCAACACATCCACGTCACCATCCTCATCCCAATCCACGAATCGCAAGGTCGCCGAAATACCCGTTATCGCTCCTTCCTTCTCCCCCCACGGCATGTCCACCTCTACAAAGTTTCGGCGTTGCCCCACACAGCTGCCATCATAAGCCTGACACCATGCTCCCTGCACGGATGTCAAGCGTGGCAGCAACAAAAGGACACGGCAAGCCATGACATTTTGGGCATCCTACCAGTCGTGATTCGGTCTGATGGCTTAAGGTTTAGGATGGAGGGTTTGCGGATGCTTGGGGCTTTGCCACTGGCATGGCCAATATGACATAAATCAACATAACAAAGCTCGCATCCGGCACGTCTGGTCTAGCAGCTATTGCTATTGGTCCAAGTGGCTTATTTGTTGTAAAATGATCCACAAGCCGTCGGCCAATGTACTGCTTTTGCCAGGTTCCGCAACATCACATCTGCCTTTGTAAACAAACAAAGACACTTTAACTTTACATGTCTTGATCACGTACAGCCAGAAATGCCGGGCCTTGGAAGGACGCAATGCAAATCGCTACTGGTTTGAAATCACGAACCCAAATATGGTAAGCATGCAAATCGCTAGCTGCTTGGTTTTCAAATCGCAAAATCGAGGAAAACGAGATGCCTCCTACGCATCAGTCTGCTTTGACACAAACCTACAAACGCATTGATTACTCTTGCATGATCTCCACTCTCCAAAAACGCATCAAACGCAAAACTGCCACAAATCAGCAACGACCAACTGCTGACACACTGCTGACACATGAATCCCAAGTACTGAGTGAGGCGCTAATACAACAGGATTCCGCGGCTACCTGTTTGCCCCTTCAAGAGTACACATCTGAGCATTCGCCGCAACTCCCTGTATAATCCGATGCCATGGACAATTTGGGGGTCCCGTCGCTTCTTGGTGTAGGATACAAGGCAAAGTATCGCTTTTGGCGGGTTCAACCAAAACACAGTCATGGTTACATCTTAGATTGAAGGGTATTCTTTTTTGGGGGGTCCTATCGCTTTTGCGGCTTTATGCGTGATTCCTACATCTCACGGCATTCCTTCTCTTCGTGCACAATGCGCGAGTATTGCCGATTGCTCATCTGGGGCAGCAGTCGACAGAGCCCGCAAGGTAATGCAACGTTGTTGGGTTGCGAAAGCAGCACGGCATGTGGGCCGCAGTCGTTCATTCCAATTTGTTGGAACGCTTCATGAGAACCATGGTGGAGAGATTCATAAAACAACGTCCAAAAAGTGTGCATGATGCCATGCGGGTGTTCGTGCAATCCCCCTTGAAGCTCTTGTTTGAAGTTTTTAGTCGTGAAGCTCTTTCTTTTTCTGCACATTTCGTCTTCGCGCAGTCCCTGACGGCTCAAGGGCTCAAGACGCTGGCTCGCGTGGGTACAGGTTAGCCCAACAAAGTGCATCTGGCCCTTTCATTTAGGAAGGACATTCCAGCTCTGCACTAGCAGCTGCCATGCCAGAACACATGACACCACCTGCAAAAGCAGCGAAACGAACAGCCCGGTCTCCCTTGAACGAAATGGACGACGACGATGAGGAGCTGGAGCAAGCCGGTGAATTAACAGTGGGATTGTCGGTGGCAGCCGTGGCCAACATTGTGCGCTGTGAGATTCAACGAGGAATGGCGCCAATTGAACAGCAGTTGACAATAGTGCAGACCTTTTTCGGGGATCGGTTGGGACAGCTGGAGGCCACAATGTCCAATCAGGGCAGCTGAATAGAGAAGCTTGAGCAAGCAATTTCCAACACAAAGGGCACGCCGAGATCGCACACATCAGATTACAGTGCTAAGGTGGACAAGCAAATTAATTAGTGAATTGCTTGCGCAAGTGGAATCGTTACGGGGGCCCTCCATGACAGACCAGCAAGACTACGCACGTACCATGGTCCTCGGAGGACTAAAAGGGTTGACTACACTACAACTGCTCCGAAATGCCGAACTGACACAGCAAGGTAACCGAGTGTGGGCGGCCCAGGATCTCCCATTACAAAAGCGCACTCGGAAGATTTTCCTCATGAGTTTGAAGTGGCAGCTTGCGGAATGGGGTTTGCTTAAGCGTGAGTTTGAAGTCGATGATGAGTTCACCCAGCTCAAGGTGGGTCATTTGGTTGTGTCAAAATATCCGTGGCGGGAACGGAAATGCAATGCGCCTGGGCGGATACCTGAATTGCAACAAAGCGAGTTGGCCCGTGCTAATGCTTCTTTGCAGAAAAACGTCGCGGCCAAGGGCACAGGCAAGAGCAGATCAGCAGAAGTGGCTGTGGCCAGCTCCTAAGGACAGCTCCGTTCGAGCCATGGTGTTTTTCACACACGTCGCACACTACAGGTCAACCTGTTTCTCCAGTGGGTAAGCCGACAGTCGTCGAGTATGTTTTTCCGTCAGAGCATGTGAAGTCAAACCAGGCGCATATACATATTTCTTGCAAGAATGCGAGGCTTCACTCAGATGAGAAAGTCGCAGAATTGTTGGGTGAGATGCAGCATTGCAAGTGGGATCTTGTTGTATTCAGCGAAACCAGGGCAAACATCGACAAAACTGTTTTGCAAGGTGGGCATGTTTTGTACGGTTCCCGCACGCCCACAACTTGTGCTGGTGTTGCAATTGCAATTCATAGCAGATTTTCATTTTGTGTGCAGAGGGTTCATGTCCTTGGTGATCGCTTGATGTATGTGGACCTGAAGACTGGCATGCGCATTATGCGGGTTGTCTCGCTGTACATGCCTCATGCTGGATATCCAAGTGAAGATTTGCGTCAACTGTATGAGCAAATGCAATTTATCCTGGCAGATGCCCGTCGCCATGGTTTTTCATATGTCGTGGGGGGTGATTCATTTCGCAGTTAGACATTGGGGTGCGGTGTGAGCTGTTGGACCAGCTCTGTCAAGCTTGCAATCTTTTAGTGTTGAACCGAAATGCGCCTGTGCATGAATCATGGACATTTCAAAACAGCATGAGAGTCAGAAGAAGGATTGACGTTTTGCTGTGCCATGTTTCTCTTTCCGTACATGCAGCCGCTGCCAGTCCTGAGTTTGACATGGGTTCTGATCATAGAGCCGTTTATGGATGCATTGATGCTACCCCCACCCACAAAACCCATGCCAGACGTCCTCGCCGACGAGTGGATGGCGCCCAAATTCGCAGACAATGCGTTTGTACCAGTCATTGTTAAATGACAGGTTGCACCATACGAAGCCACAAACTCTCGAGCAACTTGAGGAATGCGTCCGTGTCAGTGCAGCACAAGCAGAATCTCGTCCACTGACATCCGTCCGCGGGAAAGGGAAGATTTTCGTGCATTGCTACGTGAGCGGAGACATTGCAAAAATGTGTTGGAGAGAACGAGGATTTCAAAACTGGTGCGGAAACAATTGCGTTTTCATATGAGACAGCTCCGAAACGCCAAGCTCAATGAGATTCTTTCCGACTTTCGCGACTTGGGTCGGCTAAATGTCATTCATGAGGAAGGGATGAGACGTCAACACTCCACAAGTGAGCAGCCTTCCCCTGATGATTTCGCTAACTTGCTTGAAGACATCTTTGCGAGTGAGACAGACATCCATGACCCAATGGTTCACGCATGACCGCAGCCGTGTGATGAAAACTTGACGACAGCGTTCCAGTTTTTCAGCTTGCTGAACTGCAGTTGGCTCTGCAGCAACTCCGGCAAGGTAAGTCTGCTGACCCTGACAGTTTGGTTCTGGAAATGTTTTCATACGCAGGCGCACAATTACACCAATGTTTGCTTGACATCTACAACAAAATGTTGGCAAAGAATAAATGGGACCCAACGTGGTACCATACAATATTTACCATGCTCCCGAAACCTGATGACACCTTTTTGGCTCAGAAGTAGCGACCCATTGCCGTGCTAAAGGTCACATACAAAATTTTTGCGAAGATGTTACATTCACGTTTGCAACCGATACTGGATAGCAGACAAGCGCCCCACCAGGTAGGCTTTCGGGTTTCGCTGTTTTTGACACGATGTGTGGCAAATCAATTGAGTGGAACTGTGATTTATGGTTTGCAGGTTTGGATTTAAAAAAAAGCCTTCGATCGCATCGAACACAATGCACTGTTCATTGCACTTTCCAGGCACGGGGTGCCATCATCATATGTACAGCTTTTGAAAATGTCTACTGGACAACACGGCCAATGGCAGCCGAAAGTTTCAGATATTGCGCAGTGTCAAACACAGAGACATTTTGAGTCCACTGTTTTTCAGCGCTGGGCTTGGGGAATCTGTGCGATCATGGAAGAATCGGTTGGTTAGACGATTTAATGCGGCACAGCAAAGCAGAGTCCGAGTTGGTGTACATGTTGGAAGCGTTATCTGAAGAGTTGCGCAAAGTTGGATTGCAGTTGACCCCCAAAAGACCAAGATTCTGACAACCAAGGAGCTCACATCACCAACATTTTTGGATGTGGACGGCGACATGATTTCTGTTTTACATGGAAAGGATCAGCATAATTACCTTGGACACGTCCTTTGTGGTAATTTGCGCAACCGCAGCGCAGTAGAATGCTCACATCGGATCCGCGATGGGTGGAGTAAATTTCATACTCATCGGCATACGTTGCTGAATAAACATGTCTCCCTGGTGGTTTCTCCTGCCGTGTTATATGGATTGTCAACTTTGCCATTATCCGAAAAAACA